ATTCAGTCCACTTAGATATTAATTTTTCAAACAATTAAAAGAATTTTTTTTCTAATTGCACATAGTATTTTTACATTACGTACACGGTTACAAGAGCACAAAAGAACAAAAACGAACTTATTGTCATTATAAACAATGCATATAACAATTATAAACTGCATATATCAATATATGCAGTTCACTGGCACAAAGTTATGTGTCGTAATTATTGGGGTACACTTTGACTTCCATCTCTGGTCACTACTTGTTATTAACAACAATATGTAAATTTATTTTCACATATAAAGTGAGATAAATTCAATAATTCTTGAAACTATTAGTAAGATATTGATCATAAAATTTGTTAACGTGTACATATATATATATATATATATATATATATATATATATATATATATATATATATATATATATATATATATATATATATATATATATATATATATCGTGTGTGTGTGTGTGTGTGTGTGTGTGCGTGTGTGTGTGTGTGTGTGTGTGTGTGTGTGTGTGTGTGTGTGTGTGTGTGTGTGTGTGTGTGTGTGTGTGTGTGTGTGTGTGTGTGTGTGTGTGTGTGTGTGTGTGTGTGTGTGTGTGTGTGTGTGTGTGTGTGTGGAGGGGGAGGGGGAAGGGTTGTACATTTAGTTTTTACATTTAGGAGTGTGATGCGTTTTGATATGACGAATGAGACTACATTTGAATTTAGAACAAAATTTACAGAGGCTACAGAAAAAGCTGGGCTCTTTACCACATTCCAGTTTTACATGTCTCTTTAATGTATGTTTAGTCTTGTATTTTCTTCCGCAACTGCATTGGTGAAAATCGATGCATTCGTTAAAGTTATGTCTTTGTTTAATGTGCCGCATGAGACTAGCTTTGAACTTGGACGAAAAATTACAGAAGTCGCAGAAGAAACGGAGATCTCTATTGTACTTTTGTTTGCCATGATGCCGCATGAAGCCATTATAATATTTGTGCTGTTTCATTCCGCAAAAACTACTATTGTACAGTTGAGAACATTGCTTACAATTAAAATCGTATATAGTTTTATGCTCTTTCAAGATATGATTGACAATATTATGCTTGAATATGGACGAATAATTGCAGTGTTCACAGAAACTACGTTTTAATTTGCAGCACTTATAATTTTTATGACTTTTCAATGCTGATTTCCGTTTAAACACCTGCTTACATGTACACCTATACCGTGTTCTCTTCAGTGAATTTTGTCTCCTGTTACATACGTCCATTTTGGGTTGATCAGATGGCATTTCTTCGTATTTTTCTTGACTTTCAATTTCTAAAAAATTAAGACAATTCCATTAGATTGCATGCTTCAGCCGAATAGAGAGAGAGATTCAATAAATCGTTAATGAGATGAAGAATTTAAAACTTGTTAAGACAAATCTTGATTAAGATATGGAAACTCCAAGAATAAAATTGTAAAAAAAGATAATTTTTTCCGATTGCTGATGAAGTAATGCATGCATGGTTAAGTAAGCATGTAAAGCATGTTATGATATCTTCTTATGTTTTACATAAATAAGTTTCATTAGAATGATTTCTAAACACATGTCAGCTTGCGCATAGATACTTTTGTGTAGCTCTGCAAGTGATTTTGTAGATCACATAACTTGCGACCATTTGGTATATGGTTAGGATTTAGTACATACACACATAAGAAATACAATTTTTTAGAATGATTTATGAGATGCCAAAGACTGGTATATTACGAGTGGCGTTTTCAGCCGAAACGAGTTAATGGAACCATTTCATTTTTTTGAGCAAATATATTATTAAATATGTACAACAAGTTTTGAGATAATTGTTTATATTAGGAATACTTAGAAAAATTTTTTCAACTATATGATTGTTAATTTTCATTTATTGCACTGATGAAAAATATACATTCATAAAACCATTTACTCCTTGTCGTTCTTAAGCGATTAATTAATTTGTCACAGAAATATAACTTTATTTTGTATACTTTATGCACTGTTTTAGCTACTCGTCAAATATATATCTATACGATCTCTAAGGTATGTTTTTATATGACCACTATCGAATTGAATGCTACTATTGATGTAGGTTTACATGAAAATGATATTTTAAAAACTCCTACTTGTCCAATCGGTAGATTTTTTCTTAAAAACATGATTTTTTTCCTATTTTCATGAAATAGTACCTGAAAAATTGGAAAAATGTTAATTAAATGCGGTTTTTTTGTTATCTCATTTACCCGATAACGTAAATTTAATAATAAAGATTTTATTTCTTTCCTATCTCCATTTATAAAGAGTTTAGTAAGTATTGTTCTAACATTCATAGAAAAATTCTCAGGCTTAGATTAGATGAAATTATATATCTAATATTAATTTCATCTAATATTATATATTAGATAAAATAATAATAAATCACTCTGCTATGTCGATTTGTAAAAGTTAAAAATCTAACATTAAATAGCAATTACGCAAAAGTGATTACTTCAACAATTTATAAAAATTGAATTGTACAGCTCCACTGCAATTTAAAATTAAATATATTTCAATGAAATAATCTGGTCAGTAACAAAATGAGAGAAAGAATAGAAGTAAAAATAATTTCGAAATACTCAAACAATTTATTAATAAAAATACAAATAAACGTTATATACGATTGTTCTGTTAAAACTATCTCTTTTTAGCCTAGATTTCTAAATAAAATGTAGTTTTTTAAATAAAAGAAAGATGTCATATTTAATAAAAAAAATGTGAAAAACTAATTTCTTAAAATAAAACAAAATTTTACTAAGAATAGAAAAAATTTGTTTTATGCTTTTCTAAGTAATATAATATACGACATATATAAAAAATTTTAAGAATTTAAGCTTTTTAGTTTTAGTAGATCTTCTGTAAAGTTTGTTAAAGGAATTTTCCTGTACAATTACAAAAAAGCGTGGTTGTTAGAATTCTTTAGGGTACCCATTTTTCGTATGCTTCGTCAAATCACTTTAAAATTTCTTTTGTTTCCCGCGTGTAGTACACTTGTGCAGTCGTTTTTTAGAACCGTTTTGAATGATATGCCGTCTCTCGATATACCGCGCAAGACAATGTTTATTGTTGGTAGCATAGTTGCAGTGATTGCAAAACAATTGGGGCTCTTTGCCACAATGTAACTTTAAGTGTCTCCTTAATTCAGATTTAGACCTGTACTTTTTTCTGCACGTGTTGTACATGTGAACTTGTTCGTTAAAGTCGTGTACATACTTAATATGTTGAGAAAAATAACCTTTGAACGTTGTTGAAAACAAACAATAATCACAAGAAAAACTAGGTTGATTGCCGATATCTGCCTATCGGTCATTCCATACGTATTCACGTATTCTCGTGATATGCAGGGCAAGGCTACCTTTGTGTTTGCAACTCTGGCGGTAGTAAGCGCAAAAGAAGCGAGGTTCTTTGTCGCATTCCAATATTTGATGTATTATTAAACTTGGTTCATGCTTGTATTTTCTTTTACAGACCATGCATTTGTATGGTCCAGAATGTTCTTTAGATCCATAGATATTTTTATGCCCTCTAGATATATGTTGAGCAAGATCACTTTTGTATACGGATGAATAATTACAGTGTTCACAAAACATATGTTGCGTTTTGCGGTACTTATAATTATTATGTCTTTCCAAAGTCCATTTATGTTTAAATATTTGCTTGCATTTCGTGCAGTTATAGCGAGTCGTGCGATTTTTTCTAGAATTTTTCGACTCTGGGAGCCGTGTTACCTGTACATAAAGCTGGAATATATTAAGTAGTATCTTGTTATATTATTTTGTAATTCCGATTTCCTCTTTGATTTGAATTTCTGAAAAAATAAAAAATAACATTACAAGGCATTTTTTTACAAATATGGGAAAATTCCAGCGCACCCGCATACAGTAATATTTATCTCTGTAATATGAGATGAAATGATAGAAAATAAATGAAGCTATATAAAATTTTTTTAATCGTGCACAAGTATTATATATATTATATTATATTATATTTTATACGAAAGATAAGTATTTGATGAGATTTAAGATCGAAATAATTTTAATAATCTCTGATTGCATTATTTTATATTGTTATCAAAATTATAATTACCATATTTTATTTTTTATATATTATTTTTTACAACTTACTGATTTAAGTGTTATATAATATTTTTTTCGAGTTAGTGATAGAAGCTTGTATATTCCAAAGATAACGTTACATTCCTCCATTTATACATGGACGTGTCATGCTCTTTATGATTCGATGGTATATATAAAAAAAATTTATTAATTGAAATATACATTATCGATAGTGTTGAGAAAGAGTAAGCGTTGTTATATTTTGTCAGATTTCTTATGAATTCATTCTAGCGCAGCTAGCGCCAAATTATATCGTGAACATTTCTACTTTAAAGAGCAATCTGAAGGAATTATTATTTACATATTACAAATCTAAAAAATGGCAAATTGGACGAGTTTTATTAAAATTCTGGTAAAAATGTAATACCGGTAATGTTTGCATTCTAAGCATAATATGAATCTGATGATTTAATAATACGCGCTGTGAAAAATATGTACATTGTTTTTTTTTTAATTGAAAAGGGAACATTTTGATTAATTTTGAAACTACATTTGATAAATAGCCATACAATTTTATTCAAAGGCTTTACATAAAATCTTACAACAGACACTTGGATCATTGATTATAATTTATACTTGCATTTATTTACAATAATATTAGTAACGACGTACAATTCGGTTCATTGATGTTGCACAGAGAATTGAATGTGATTTGAAAAATAAAAAAATAAACGCTAAAAGACAAAATTTGTTGGAAATCAGTTTATTTGTTCTTATATTGAACTTTGTACTCAAGGTTCTCATTTAAATGCATCTCTTTTTCTAAAACAGCAACATTATTCTCCAAAAAAGCATTCATATTTAATATGGTGCTGCATATCATCCTTATTTATAAACCTTTCTTCGCACATCATACACTTGAATAGTTTTTCAGAATTCTCATCATCTGATGCCGCTTCATCAATATTCGCTTGACATTCGTATAATATATGATGCTGTAGATCTTTCTTTTGTGTACAATTTTTATCGCACATCATGCACTTGAATATTTTTTCAGAATCGTCAGGTCCTATTTGACACTCGTATTTTATATGGTGTTGCATATCCTTCTTTTTCATATATCTCTTGTCACACATCATACATTTGAATATTTTTTCAGGTTCATTCGACTCTATTTTATCGATATTTTTTACACAATTGTGCCTTATATGGTGTTGCATATCCTTTTTACGAGTAAATCGTTTGTCGCACAATAAACACTTGTATATCTTTTCAGACTTCTTGGACGATGTTTTATGACTCTTTTTTTGACGCTTCGAAGAACTATTTGACTTTCTTTTCTTTTTCGAACCTGAAACATAAGAAATCAAAATTAGAAATTTTTTTAAATGCTTAGTTTATTGAGGAATTAAATAATATAAAATAATATTTAATTTATTTTTGTATAAAAATTTAGTAAGGCTAGGAGTATATATAACATGCAAATTGTAAACTAGTAGAATGTTCATGCTATAATTCTCAATAGATTTAAATAAAACTCGGTAATATGATAGGAATAAATAATATTTATTTGCAAGTTTAAAATGTGTTTATAACTTTTGTTAAGTTTTACAATTGAATTTAATATGATGCTCCAAATTATTTATGGTTTTATACATTTTTCCGCATTTATTACATTCAAAATTAAGCAAATCATTACACGCTTGATGATAATATATAATATGTTCATTTAGACTAAAGCTAAGTTTATTTTTATTACAAGATTTAATATGATTTTTAAGTTTATAAATGTACTTCGCTACAAATAGAACATTAATACATTTTCTTTTCCTTTTTGTAACTTTCTCCGCTATTTTATATGAAGTTACTGTGACGGGTTTTCAGATGAATAGAGATATTACTTTTGTTATTTGTAGAATAGTTGCAATGATTGTAGAATAGAAAACGTTGCATCATCCATAGTATTTTTTATGATTATAAAAAGATTTGTGATTTGGAATATCAATGAAATTGAAAAATGAATTGGAATATCTCAAAATAATTGGTCACCATCTTAATACGTGAATAAAATTTGGACATATTTGACATATCAATTGTGGACATTTGACTTGTGGACATTATTTTCTGTGGGCATTTTCCTTTGCACATTTTGGGTTGGACATTTCATTTTGGACATTTTGGGGTATAATCTTTTGAATGACTTGTTACACTTTAAACAATAATTCTTTTTAATATTTTTATCATTCAAATTTAAAGAAGGTAAATTTGGAAAGGCGTGTATCAATGTTTGCTGCAAATCAAACGTAAAAACTTTAAATCTTCCAGTTTATTTCCTGCGAAAAAAAGCAAAAGTACAATTATTAATAATTATGATGCGATTACTAATAAAATTAGATGACATTTTTACAATTAGTGCATTCTGTAGGCAAATTATAATCAAATTTCATGTTACGTAAGAAATGATATCATTGTCAGCATTATAAGATATTTTTCGGAGATGGTTAACATTTCAAATGATAATATGGTTTGTATTTTGAAGGGAAAATTTGCAACTATTATTATTTTTTTGTAGCATTTTTCCAAGATTAGAGCAGACTATAATAAGTCTTAGAATCATGATAGAAGATAAAATAGAAATCTCACTGATGGGTGAATAACTTTTCGGAAAAAACTGAAAGCAAATTCATTTAGCTAAAAATTTATTTAGTATTTTAATTACAAAGTCTAAAAGTGCAATTACGTAAGCACAGTATGTCACATTCAATGTTTGAAACTTGAACGTATTGGCAGTAGAGAAGCACAGAATGTTTTAAATGCCGATTAAAAAATTTGAATTTGATACACAATAAGCGCAAGAAAAATTTTCGGATAAAAAATTATTTATTATTTTATATTTTTCTATCAAATGAATGATCATTCTATTAAAAAAGTCAAATGATATTTATTATATTTTAATGAAAGTCTTATGGTAGTGTAAATATCACGTCTACAATTACATAAAGAACATGCAGAGAAAGAAAAAATACATCTTTATATTATTGTGCTTTTAAGATAAACATATCGAGTGCCCTTGGTGTTTACCCCTTGCTTTGAGAGAAATACAATTGCTAATAATATGTTTGATGAGGCCCAACTCCTTGTGGAAATTCATTTTGCATTCGTTGCATTTCGTATTTGATATCCCGACGAACTATGTAAGATTTTTTGTGTTTGTAGGCCTCTTGCAGGGTGTGAAAGCTAATGTTGCATTGTTTGCATAAATATTTTAGCGTGCTTCTTCTTTACGTAATTAACCAAACACACTTTTACTCCGTACGTGGATAAGCAGTAGTTGCAAGAAAAATGAGAATACTTCTTACATATATTCTTTACGTGATCATCTAAACTATGATCGCCGGTAGAGTTTACTTTAGCACATTTGTATTGGAAGCATTGGTTGGAACCTTTGTGCTGGAGAATGCTGTAGTTGGATATACACATGGAACAGTGGTAATTTATCTCGCTATTTATACCTAGAATATAGTATATGAATGATTAATAATGGAAAAGCTAAGTTTGCGAGAAGGAAGAAAAATTAGCTATTACTTTATTTGTGAAAATATATCACAACATCTTCACAGAACTCGTCATCTGCTAGATTTTCTAATTTATTTGCTATGCGACCATGTAATCCGTTGATATTCTTTTTTAATTCATTCATGAATGTAGTTTCCTTTGTTTCTGTGATATTAAGTGGATTTTTTCAATCTTAATAATTCTTTTATTGTCTTTTAAATGTTCTTTTTCGTTAGTCATTATCATATTTTTGTTACCATTAGATTTAATAGTTTTTTCCTTTATTATACATCCGTTATCTATATCTTTTTCTGAAATACCGAGCAGTAAAATACTTTATTTAGTTGACCTTACGTAATGTGCATCAGAGTAAAAACTAAACCCACCAAATTCTTCTGATACTTGTATAAAATAGAGATCATCGGGAACCAGATCTATTTTTCTACTACAATACACGAATGTAATCAGAAAAAGTCCATTTTCTAAAATAATTATTATTAATTATAAATAATGCAGTATTTAATGTTTCAAAAATGAGGCATTACATTCACAATGAAGTCCAACGGCTTCATTATTTAAAATAAAATTACATTTAATATTATTCTTCTTGCAAAATTTGTACACACAACGGCAGAAATAATTAGAAGTCATGAGATAATTGATATCAATTATGTGATTTGTTCGGGTTAAGGAAGAGTGAAATGATAGTCGATCGATAGAGTGAAGGTGTACTTTAATGTATAAATGGTATTGTTAAATGGTTGAACAAATCAACTACAAAAAAAAACTCGGTTAAGTCCCGAAGTACAAAGAAAAACTTAACGCTAATGCAAGTTGAGACGAACGCAAATCTAATTACAGGCTAAGCCGCGAAGGAATTACTAATCTGCACTTGCAAGTGTGAAGAACGGCTACGCTATATAACGAAACCACCCGATCGTTCGAGCGCCCGATCGAGAGAGAACTGACTTCGCTGCCCTTTCGGCCGCTGAGAGAAGTTTTTGCTCGTTTTCTCCTTCCACTCCGTCTCCCTGACCGGGGCGTGTCCTGCTTTCCGCCGGATTTTCCGCTACGAACCTCGCTCGTCCTGGCCCCTTCTCTATGGCCCAAATAGGTGAGGGCGTAATTTCCTTCGGCCGTTTGGCCAATTGTGCACGCGGCCTACCACCCCGCTCCTCGTGCGACGCTGCCGGTCGGCCTCGGTGAGGCCCGATTTGGCCTCCCGTTCCGCAGATTCGAGTGGTGGGAGCGACGGGCTCCTGATCTTTGCGGGTATCGGACACGAAAACCGATGTGTTGTCGGCCCAATACCCAAACACGGCCGCGAGCTCGCTTATTGATAAGCGCTCACGGCGCGTGGTGGCATGCGTCGAGGGCGGTGGTAGTGGCGTTGCGTCTTCGACAACGAGGCAGGGCATTAGCCACTGCATGACGTGGGCATACGAAAGTGGATGAAGGCGTGGGGAACTTCCTAGCGGCCGGCGTTGTTTTGTGGAGCTGCAAAGGCTCAAGGCAAACGAAAAGAAACTCGGGAGCTCGCGCGATGAAGTGGTTTCGCTTCTCGCTGTTTATAATTTCGCTGTCAATACAACACATATTTAGTGAACATACAGTATTCACGCGGGACGTATCAGGGTTTACATCCGCAGCACCTATTTAGGTGCGGCGCGTGAACCTCGACGATTCGAGCCTCACCCGCCACCCTGTAAAGGCGCTCGACCCTGGCGCTCGGTGACCGTTTTAGTACCCTGCGGCGGCGCACGGACAGGAAAGACATCTGTTTTCTCGGATTTTCCAAAACGCGACCGTAAATCTAAATTTTAAACTATAGCTGCGCTATCTCGCCGCGACATCGTCGTCGATCAGAAACGTGCGGCACACATGCTCTCTGCCGCACCCTCATTTTCCTCTCCGCATTTCTCTTTAGTTCGTTTATCTTTACAACCCGCGCGCGCTCCATCGAGCGCGCCAAAGCTCCCCGTAAACGCGTTTGCACACATTTTCGACATGTGCTGGGAAAACCCAACGTCTTCGAACTATAACGAGCACGAATGAGTGTCTACTCCCGAAACAGTTACTTGTCCGGAACAGTCATTGCTTTTACGGACGAAAAGATTTTCTTATTTAGTTGTCAGAACTGGATTTCGTCCTCTTTTATTTTTGGTCAATTTGTTTTCCTTCTACTAGTAAATCAATGTAGTTCTGGAAATTCGAAAGTTGATAGATGCTTTGTACAAAGAGTAGCGACGACTATTGACTGCGTCTATAGCTTTAACCAAGGACTTGATACTCCATGTAAGTCACTACAGGACCAAACTTAAGATATTAAATGATTATAATATGATCGAAATAAACGTAATATATTTTCAGAATTAATTTTATATAGCACTCAATTATTAACTTCCTGGGAACTACAGCTGTTTCCAAGATTCGAAATATCGATGTATAGTATTAGCATCTGGGGAACCATGGAAATGATCATCATAGTCGTTACATTGATTAAAGAATTGAAACATGAATAACTGTGCTACAGTTAATTTAATAAATCAACTAAATTGTACTACACTTAAGAAAGCCTAATTAATTTGTACGACAATCTTCCTACAACATTTATCTAGAGGTATTACTTCTACGGGTACCAATTAAAACGTCATAGATTCTGAAAAATGTCTAAATTTAGAGTAAAAAATAAGGTGTAAAAACGCGAACAATTTTACATTCTGGTGAATTTCGATACATTTCAACTTTGTTCAACTCACTTAGAAGTTTAATCCTCAATGAACACTAATCTAAAATTTATAGTACGTAACATTAACAATAAAGGGAAGAAAAATAGATGATTATTACTAAATAATTACACTATATTTTCTAAGAAGCTACTGAAAAAGGTAAAGTTAAAATTATTAAAAAAACAGTTACATCAATTAAAATTTTGTTGTTATAGTGAAATAGGAGAGTCACAACATTAATATTATACTCTTTTTTAATATTATAATGTTAAAAAAAGTATAATTGTAACATAATATATTCATAGTATTTTGTATATCACACACATCTTACTTATGAAAAATTCGCTTGAGATATATCGCTTTTAATTATTAAACAAAATAATACAGGATGACAAGATAAGATTATTACGATTATGAAGAATTATTATTTCGTTATGTTGCTTTAATAAAGCTTTATTATAAGCAAATGCCATGGATACTAGAGTTTCTATTAAGAAAATGAATAGAACTTAAAATTTTTAATCCACAGCTACGAACAATATGATGTAAAAATTAATGTAATTAAATTTTCAGCAAATTTGAAAATGTTGGAATCAATAAAAGCTATGTAAAATAAAAATTTACGTATGGAGAACATGTCATAAAGTAAATATCGTTTATGTATTCAAAAAATACAAAATTATTCATTAACTATGATATATTTATAGCTATTTAACAATTTTAATAAAACTTTTATTAAAAATTAGTTACTTAACTTGTGGTTTTGAAAGTTTATATTTTTAACAAATATTTTAATATTCACGAAAGTGATAATAGGATTATTAAGAAGAAAGTAAGATTGTATTTATTAAAAGGAAACAAAATTAATATATTAAGAAACAAAAATAGGATATTTCTATTTGTCTGATCAAATGATAATTTGTTCAAAGGAGGCTGTGGACTGTAATTACAGTAAATTAAGTAAAGATCCAAAGAAATTAAATAATATTGAGTACATAAATGAAAATAATACGAAAATCACTGAAACAACTAAAATTGACGACAAAATGAACACATTTTTTAGCAATATCGAGAAAGAACTAACTTATAAAATCATCAAACCACTGAATAATACCCTAACTATCTGAAATGAATCCTAACAGTATATTTTTGAATTCAACAAATGATTGCGAAATGAGAAATATTATTAAAAAATGAAAATGAAAAATGGAGGAGTAAACAGAACAAACATCAAGATATTAAAAATATTAGTTAATCACGTTAGCACTTGTTATCTTAGATATAGAAATAAAAGTATCAAAAAACAAATATGGCCTAACTTACTAAGAGGTGGAATTCATACTCATATACAAAGCAAATAACGGACACATACCAACAAATTATAAATCCATTTCATTGATATCTAATTTAGCGAAAATTTTCAAAAAAATAATACACATTAGAAGTACAACATTTATCGATAATTGCAAACTATTATCAAACAATTAATTTGGATTCAAGAAAAATACGAGCACTAAAGACGGTCTAAATTATATTACGAATATAATCTTTCAGTAACTCGGTTTTAGCGATCAAATTGCAATCACGTTTTTAAATCTGGCAAAATATTCAGCTAAAAAAGATATACAATTATGACATTAAGGGCAGTGTATACAATTTTATTAAGAGTTACTGAACAAATAGAAAGCAAAGAATAAGAATGAATCACAAACATAGTCATATAGAAACAGTAGACATGGGAGTACCATAAGTTACTAAACTTGGACCGTTGTTCTTCGTATTATACATTAACAATATATTAACAACAATACTAGATAAAACAATACTCTCCTATGCAAATGACACAGGTAAATTATAGCAATATAGCATTATAGTTACAGATAAAACATGACAAGAAGTTAAAGACAAAATGAATAACTAATTAAAAGTTGTGCGTTATTGGCTTGAATTCAATAGACTATCATATAATATAGATAAAACAGCTTATATATAATTTGTTATAACTATAATAGTGCACCAACAAATTTTAATATATTAATACAAAACAAAAACATTAGTATAGTTAATAATATAAAATATCTAGAAGTTACTATTAATAGCAATAAAAGAAGGAATCAGCATCTACTCATTTTATGTAAGAAAACAAAAAACCTGACTTTTATTTTCTATATATAACTATGAAGAATAAGGAACACTGAGACATTGAGAATGATTTATTATGCATAATTTCATAGAGACATTACTTATGGAATAATAGCTTGGGGTGGAGCAGATCCTGGTAGAATAAAAAATCTTCAAAACTCATAAATAATATTACTCAAAAGAATAACTAAAATCAATTTATAACAGAAAAAAATTCACTTGATATTAATCAAACCTTCTCTCTGGGTTCATTATTACATCATTATGTCGATTCATCTCAAATATATATAAAAACAAATTTAAGAAAACGAGAGACAATAGCTTGCAACTACCTAAAAGAACGAAACAACTAAGTATTAAAAACAGTTACATTAAAGCCATATCACTCTTCAATAATCTACCAAATAAGCTCAATAATATAATATAATAATATAAGATAATAGAAAATACAAACATTAGAAAAACGGAATTGAGAAAATAAATAAAAAACAACCCATAGCAATCACAACAAAAAATGCAAATGAAACCAATGAAAGAATTAAACGTAATTATAGAGATGACATACAAATGGGTAACCTCACAATTAACTTTTAAGTTCCTGAATAAAAAGCATTATAAAGAAAATAAACCCCTGCTGTTGAGGATGCCGACCGTACAAAACCCGGAGGGATTAAAGCGTGCGCGTGGTGACCGAAGATTAGGCGCGTCGACACTTTTAAAAAAAGGGGAAAGAAATAGGATGGCGTGCTCAGCCATTAAACGTTTAGAGCGCAATAGATGCGATGCGGGGATAACTGAACTGTCGGCGACGTAAAAACCCAGAAGTTGACGGCGACGGAAAAACCCAACACGGAAAAAAACCCAGAAGTTGACGGTGACGGGTAGGGGCGTGTGTGCGTAATATACAAGCCTCACGGTGTAAGGATAATGTTTGTAAAGCTAATATTTACAAAGTGGCGATCAAAAGAGTATACAAGGCAACCTGCGATACCTTATTTTTTTTTATAGCTAGGGCGGGATGGTATGCGCTGGGGCTTCTGCCCACCCTAAGCTTGACCCATTAACGTCGACGAGCGCTTCGGGCATCTCGTCACCGTAACAACCACCAGTTACAAGCAGCAACAAGAAAAGGCTGCGCCCTTCTGGAACAGAAGTTCCAGTTATCAGGACACTCTTAATAACAACAAGCACAAGGTTTGCCCTAGGCCGATAGGTTGGCGAGCGAGGGGTGAGCGAGACAGCGAAGGCGGCAAATAAGAGGCCAAAGGATAGGAGACTGCACGTCCCGAAGGCCCACCACTGCAGCGGCGATGGGTTATTGGGGGTTGCGCTAAAATACAGAGGGAAGGGTAGAAAATTCGGCAATGCGGGCTACTCGTGCAGCCAACGAAAACGACAGCTTAGTCGTCAAACAACCGCTCAGCTAAGCTAGTTACTTGTGAAATAACTGCGTAGATTAATTTTATTTTGTACTTTTTGTTAACCAGTTTTAAAATAAAATGATACACTCGAATTTACAGCTATACTTTTTCCGCTTTTCTCACCATCATCTTGAACACAAGCAATTAGGTATTACATACATACAGTTTACATAATCTACTTTCACTGAACTAGAATTTACTACTAACATAAGTATTTGTAAATATAAACCAATTGAAACTATCTTCGTCTAAATAGATAAGATGACAGTAGAAAACAGCATAAAGGCGAAAATTTTAAAAGCACAATTAGTCTGTGGGAAACTAATACAGCGTCCAAACTATCTATGGATGACTAATGGGGATATCGACTATATAGAAAACAACAAAGTTCTACTGTACTTCGATAGAGGTTGAAAAGGAAAACAGATTTTTCACAACTCAGTTTAATTCTTAAAATCACGACTAAAGAATAGAGATTTAATAGTTTTGAATGACATAGTTTTCACTTCAGAATGTAAATGTAACTCTATTCACCGACATCAAATTATGTTCCCTGATTACAGGGTAACATGTGCCATTGGTCTTACATTCCCGGGAAGACTCAGTTCAATAGAATACATCTCATACGCAAGAAATACAGTAAAGCGTCAATGGTGTACTACAGTACAGCTAGACAACATCTCATCAAATTCTGGTGAAGAATAGTGCAAATGTTTACAAAGAGTTAATTTAGTTTTTAAGTGCCTGGAGACCGGTCTCCAGGCAAATCCTAAATACTTTTGATTTTTCGTCAAAAAAATAGAATAGGCCAATTATTGGAGCCTACTTTTGAAGTTTGTTCAGGACCATTGAACTTAGTGTAAGAATTGAAAGAATAGCTGTGCTTAATTTTTTATAAAATACTCCACCAGCTACGACTCTTTTTTCATCAACAGTATAATAGTGCCGAAAATATTACATATCTGTGTCTTTCTTCATATGTAATACATATCTATATACACAAACATACACTTACACATACAACACACACGCACACAAAACACTTATCATTTATAATAATGTTGGAAATGATTCTTAAATGAAAATACGCGATAAAACATGAGCCAACAACAATATATTCATCACTTTTCTTACATTAAGAAGTTGCGATGAACATAGAATAATAACAAACTATAATAAATATTCCCTATTTAAACAAAACAACAAATTTAACAAAATTTATAATAGCCATATCCTCTTAATAATAAATTTAATCAAGTTAGCATTTTGTTATGAACTTTAACTCGTGATATTGAATAGAACTCAGTGATTATTGACAGTTTTGAAAAAAAGTTTCACGAGATATTTCGATCTTTCACATCGATTCAAAGGCTAGTTTTAGCGAGCACACACTTTTTTGATGCATGAATAGCTTTGCTTAAGCGTCAATTAAAGATAAAAATTGGTTATGATTCATGGAATGCTTTAACCGTTATAAGCGAAAATCGACAATTATCAAATTCATTAAAACACTAGTAACAAAGCTTGCAGCGACTCCTATTTGTTTTTTATTATGGGCACATCAAAAAATGAAGATATTTCTTCAAGGATATTGTAAATACAATTACTCCTGAAAGTTTCATAAGAATTCAAACAATGCTCCACATTTTACATCAATTCGAAATTTTTCTTTTTACAAAGTAACATGCAAAATTTATCAATATTTTGACTTTTTGCCTTTTTAACCTTCAGAGTCGCATGCAAAAAATAATATTGAACTGATAATAATTTTTTTCCTGATATATATGCGATGTTGCAGATCTTTAAATTTAAGCCATTACAACTTGACCAAACTCATGCCTACACACGTGTAGAAGCGAGTAACACAAAAAATCAAAATTTTCTACGATTTGCCCATATAGGACACTACATCTTCTACTGGATTACAATTTTTTAATTTCTCATGTATATTATTAATATATATGACTCTGGAAATCAATAAATAAATTAATAAATTTAGTAAGGTTATCGAGATTATTTTTAATAACAAAAAAAATGGGCACTATAATTTCTACTAAACACCTATTTATTTACCTTTACAAAAGAGTTCAATGCTGTACTTTAATCTCATGGCAGTCCATCATTACAATTTCACAATAAGTATAATGTTCAAAATTTAGAATACTCGCTGTTTCGAGTGCTGCTCATAAATTCAATGTTTTACAAATTCGCACAATGGCCATAAATAGACTTTATGGCGTTAATTGCGAGAACGAGCGAAACAGAAGTCGACCAACAAACGACAGGAAGCACAGTCATTGTGAATACCTTGATCACGAGGTCTGAAATGACTCAGAATGAAATTTAATCTAAAACCAAAAATGGTATACTGGATAGCACGACATTGACATGCATGTTCCAATTCAGCACGACATTGATATGCATGTTCAAATTTCTCAAACAACATCATAACATGAGCGTTGTATAATTCCAATAGATGCAAATCCAGTTCTTTATCTTCATGTTCATCTAAAATTTAATATATTAGAGTTATCGCTTTAACAAAAAATAATTTAAATTTCAGATCATATGATTACCATTCTAAGAGTTACCGAGCAGGAAACGTCTTTGGAACTTTTTTGACATCAAATATTTACTTAGAAATTTTTATCTTGAGATGGTCCTCGTTTTTTATTTTTATCGTTTTTTTGAAGATATATCATTGTCGTCATTATCATTAGTTTTCCACGATGAGGTTATTAAAACGTTATTTATGACGAACTTTGTTTCTAATTCCATTTAAAGTTTTTTTTCTAAAACAGAGTAGTGGCAAATAAAAGAAAAAGTTATTCTTCTATTATCCATAACAGTATAGTTTATACAAATGTATAATAATTTTGTTATCGCTATTGTAATTTTGATATATTTTTTAATTTACGACGTTTTCTACATTCTTCTTCAAAACTTTTACTAAATTTTTTTCGTTGCTTCTTTTTCTTTTTTTTTGCTACGCAAAAATATTTTATATATTATTTTAATGGCAAAGTAAACGTGAATAACGTATATTTATTTACGGTGCATCTTGCTGAAACAATTAAAAAACGTTGTATGACCTGAAATGTTTTTTAATAATAAAGGAAAATAAAAATCGAACAAATATAAATTATTCTTTTATTTGTATAGTGAAAAAGTGAATAGATAAATTTTTGTTAATCAAGATTTTCTTTTTATTGAATATAAATTCATCTTACATATACGAAGATATTATTTATATCGATATTGCGAAATTATAATATTTCATAAAGGAAAGTTTAAAGATATTCAGACAATCATCACACATCAAATATTTTTAACCCCACATATTAGTTTGTTCGCATACGTATGCCAAAAATTTAATAGATTTTTTCACACAATGAATATTTCATAAAAATTAATGAAAATATATGTAAAAAATTAATTTTTAAATCTACACACATAAGAAATAATGAAATTCAAATGGTATTATTGGCAAGTGAGATAACATTAATGACAGATGGGATACCAACAATGGACTGACTATTGTACTCAAGGCACTGTTTCATATGACTCCCCAGCGATGTTTTGTATTTGTATTTTTTGCTACATCCAGGACAAACATAAGTCATAACTCTGCTCTCATCTGCATTCATATCAGGATGTTTATGTTTCATGTGTTGAGTGAGATGATCATTCCTCTTGCACCTGTATCCACACCAACGGCACTTGATATGTGGTACTCTACCACAACTGCGTTCATGCCGTTGCAGGTGCTTTCTATGCTTGTATTGACGCTTACAGCGGATGCATCGATGCCAGCTTGGTAAATCGGTTTCGGCATGCACGTTTTTTAAATGAGACAGAAGATTGTATTTGTTCGTCGACGTGAAATTACAATGAGAACAATATAGTGGATTGCGTCCACAACAGGCGAAACGAACGTGACTGCGAGCACTTTCATATAAGGCATATTGACGGTTACATACGACGCAACACCAGGTTAGAACAGTATTACAAGTACCGCAGTGGGGAGTTCGGGTCTTGTAGCACGCTGGCTTTTCCGAAGTTATGTTACATGTTTGGCAGTGAACCATTATTTTATCACGAACTGATTTACCTGAAAATATAAATTCAGTTCATAAAAATGATAAAAAAAAGATACTTTGATGCAATAATATTTACCGGGTTCGCTTAGCTCGTCGGCCAATTTCTCGTTTTCGTCATGTTTAATTACTGAATTTTCTTGAATAAAATTATCAATTGTATGATCATTACAGTCATTGAAAACTGAAAAAAATTTTTTTGGTATTTAAATATATTAAATAATAGCGTGTAATAAAACAAGTTTAGCTTACTAAATCCACCATCATCGTGAGATTCATCAACATATATGACTTCTTGCTTTATAAATTGCTCACCCGGATAATACATAGGAACAGGTTCTGTAATAGTTTACAGTTTTTTAATACTTTACATAGAAGATTGAAGAAAGTAAATGTTGAGATATACAAACCTTTGGATTCACTGATAGAGTTATGATTTAAAGGATCGTTCACTCTACGACCAGTATTCAGTAGTATACCTTGAACAATATAAAATTATCAAATTAGTGTTACTACTATTTACGTAATTCATCATCTATGAGGAATGAATTTTACGTAAATGATAAAAAATCCAGGAAAAGTATACTAACAAACATATATTTTTAAATGTACAAAAGTCAGTCTGATAATATATAGAATGGTAATATTTAAAAATTTCTAAAAATAATTACATCACCAACATTTTACTTTTATACTACTATATTTGCTATCTACTTTTCACTCACAATACGAGCATTAACTAAAAACTTATAAATATACAAAGAAAACTACATTGAATTTGATATTTGATATTGGAGTACAATGGAATTAAAATCAAATAAAAAACATTTCGTTGAGAAAAGTGTTACGCATGTTTTATTTTTACGTATCTTAACGACTGAGAATGTAACAGCATCATAATTGCGCAAATTTTGCACTATATGTATCGGATATTCTTTATTTATAATAATATTTATAAATATTTTTATACAACAAAGTAAACATTTTAATATTTGATATTGAAGTACACAATCATTTAATTATTATATCAAAAATATTCTGATTGATTTATTTATAATAACTCATTGGAAGTTTAAGATAAACCATAAATTAAATAATGCATATTTTACTCAGTCTTTCCAAGTTTCTCTGTACATCTAATAACATGTTTTTCATATCTGACATTGGTTTTAAACTTATTTCCACAATTGGGACACTTCTTCTTACGCTGTCTCCTTTTAACAAATTTTAAGTCTTTCGCCACATTCCTTACAATATTGGGATTTTTTCGTTGAATAGTGGTACTTTTTCCGTGACGACGTTCGATGTGGCCAATCAAACGATACTTTCTCGGAGTTTCGTAATCACAAAATAGGCAATGTAACATCTGAGGATTTACACATTCACCTTGAACGTGACGCTGAGCGGATTGCAAAGCAGTATAGATTTTGTCATTACAACGAGAGCATTGAAATAACAAAGGCGATTGACAGACGGTACAATTTTTTGATCGAGTACACGGTTCTCGTGGAAACGATTTGTTACATGCTTTACAGTAGAAATTGACAAGGCATTGTTGATCTGAAAAATTAACAGAATATTATAAATGAAACAAGAATTATTTTTCCTTTCATAATATATACTAACCAATCATTTGCCTTGTCAATTTGGAATTACGATGTGCTTGTATATCGAGTTTCTGTATAGACATGTCATCTGTAAACAAAAGTATACTTGATTATTGAATGAAAATAAGCTTATCGATTCTTATAAAATTTACAGACTTGAAAGATTTAAATTAAAATGTGTCAATATTTCACCATCATCATCTTTCGTGTGATCATATGTTTCATCATCTGAATCATCTTCATTATCATCATTATTATCATCATTCTCGAACTCATTGTAATCCAAGTAATTTGTCTCGCTTTTAATATAAATTTCATTTTTGTCCTCATCTGTAATGAAAAACGTATTGGGTATTAGTTTTTTAAAAACTTTTTTTAATTTTCAAGAAAGTTATTTATACCTTCTGAATCATAGTCTTTCAGAGATCGGATTTCCCGAATTTTCAACAACGGTTTCACTTCGATTGTGTAATCTGGAAATAAAATGAAATAGTGATGTGATAATAAAGTGCCTTTAGTAATTATCTGTTTGCTATATTAAAATACAAAGCATTGTGATGTGAAGTGTTAGTAAGTAAAACTGGGAAAAAACTTCATATTACCAATAGTTGAAAATGTATTATTACGCAATATAAATTATCAATACAATAAAAATAACGTATGTTTGTTAGTACAACTCATAAAAATACACCGAAATAAACAAAACCATCCCACACTCAGAGTTGAAAGAAGCATACATAATAAATAAGCAACTAAAAATTTAAACTATTTAAAAAATGTTTATTTTTGTTGCAAATATATAATATAAAGAAAATAATAAAGGTTTGGTAACAAAAAAAAAGTTTTTCTACGTTTAAAATTAATATTATTTATTAGATTACTTTGTGCTTTAAAAACAATTTCATCTATAAAAATTATAGTCTTGATGGAGTCGTAGAGAAGTATACAATATATTTAATTCATCCAGTTCCGTAACTTTAAACTCTAATGAATTGGAATTTTATTGATAGCAAACTTGTCGCCACAAATTTTCATCTACGGTATTTTTTATATGTAAAACTCTTCAATTTGTTGGATATCCCAATCAAAAATGAAAACCTAAAACACCAATAAGCTTAGTTAATTTATCGAAATTTCTACAAGCAATGATATATATGAGAAATAGGAAATTATGGTTATTGATGAACAAATACAAGATTTAATTAGTCAGTTTTGTAATTTTATCAACAAAATATAATTATATTTATATATCAACAAACATTATTTTATCTAAAAATGCAAGTTATTTATATAAACAATATTGAGGAGTTTTTCTAATTACGTATATATCAAACGTATCAAAGTAACCTATTAGGGAGATTTGAGTCTAGTACCAAGGTGCCTTGTCTGAGATTACCTTAGAAGTCCAACAATACTGAATCTTACCTAAGGCACACCTAATTAATAAATTTAATATTTTCACAATTGCTAGGTATATTGGCTAATGATTCGGCAGTCATCTTTCTGCTATGCTATTCATGATGCGGTTGATACGACAAATTGGACTTTTGCAGCTGTGAGTGTTCTTCAAACTTTTATGCTGTCCTGCTATCATGGAAGTAATCTTTTAACTTCCTATTGAAAAAATTCGCAAAGAAAAAACTGTTATATTAATTATTATGTTAATAGTGTTACAGAACACGAAAGAAAGAAAAATTTGCCATATATTTATGTGAGCTTAATTGGTTAATTTAAAAAGAAAACAACAAGCATATTACGTTCATCCATCTTCATCAACTATATTCCGAAAAGTATTTTTATAATAACAATGCTTTGAGTATTGGGTAACCTTTTTGTGTTAAATCAAACCTTGGTTAAATATACTCTCCATTTTCTTATTTTTATAAATATTTTATTATACTTGCATACGAAACATTTTATTTAATTTGTTGTACATAAGATCATTTTATTTATTATTTCGTTGTAATATTTTATATTCATAACAGTATGATACATGGTATAAGGGATATTTTAACATGATTATTCATCATACCAATTTATAGAGCACTTAAAAAAAAATTACAACTTTGTTAATGTAAAATTTGAGTAAATGTTTTATTGCCTAAATTTTTGAACATATTGTTGTGAAATTCATGGCATTCATTCCTATCTAAATATTATGGATACTGATAAAAAGATTAATATGTATAATTGTAGCTAAGAAGCATATACAGATTAAAATTAAAAATTGAGTGTTTACACATACAACTTCAAAATACATTAAAATGAATATATTCTAAAATTAAGATTTTCGTAACATTTAATTGATTTCGTCATGGAACTTTGCCTTATGGCAATATAATTAAGCAGCTGCAAAGTGGTTGGATCTTATTTTGATCAAGAGATGAAACTTGAAATATACTGGTACCTGCACAAAAGAATATAGTGATTCTGCTCCGTAGTTACTTCGATAATTCTAATCGATATATCTTTTAGGAACAGTCTTTTTCCTCGGAATGCGACTGCTTGACTCTGTGGTTACTTCTGTCGTTTTCGAATAGTTTGCATCTTTGGTCAAATTATCAGATGACCTGGTAGTTTTTGTTTTCTCAGATGATATGATTAACTCAACCGGTTCGATCGATAATGCGTGCAATTGTTCAAATAATTCCTTAGAATGATGGCTTTTAATATGCGATAGAAGAACTGCTTTTTGAGACGTTTCAAAGCCACAATGAGCGCATGTACCTTTAAAACAGCACACAATCTTGTGCTTTTTCAGGCTATTTAAATGTTTGTATCTTTTGCCACAGATCATGCACATGTACAGGTCGAGCTTTGCTGGATCCGTATGGATATTTCTTACGTGTTGCTTGTATCCCCACTTATTGTCGGTAGTATAATCACACCATTGGCACTTAATGTTATTTTCTGGACCGCAATGACGTTGATGAGTCAACATGTGAAAGCGATGTTTGAATTGACGTCCACAGATGGCGCAAGCATGTCTTTTCGTCACCACTGTGTGTTTGCACTTGATATGAGTTTGCAAGCTTGCTTTTCGGGTGGTTTTGTAATCACATTGCGCACACTTAAATCCTGGTACTTTTTCACAGTCGTGTTTCAAGTGGAATCGTAAGGATTTTATATTTTTGTAAATTTTGTCGCAGCGTTCGCATTGAAATTCCAACAATGTATCACACGCGTCGCAACTTTGGCCTTTTCCCAAGTATACGAATCTCTCACTCTTATTACAATTTCGGCAGTAGCTCATTTCATAGCTGTGATCTGGAATAATCGAAAATAATGAATGAGATGCGTAATATAAAGCGTAAGAAAAGATTTATCGTTCATTTTTCTTTGGTACCTATGATTTCTAGTCTATCGTGACTATCCTCAATTTTATTCTTATCGTTGTCTGAAGAATCTGACGAGATTGTCACTTCTTCTCTAACGTAATGGACTTCACGCACTGTTCTTGTATCATCATCTAAAATCAAATTACGATTGTAAGTCTTTTATTGAAAGTTTAGAAAGACAGCTGGGAGTAACATAATTTACCTATAATTATTTCGGCGATTTCATTTTTGCAGTTGCGTTTTGGCCCGTTGGTTCTGATAAATCTTCGTGATTTTTTCACAGCTTTTCCTGAAAATAAAATATTTTGTTAGTTTAGGCAATGTATATATTTTTCAATTTGTTAATTCATCAAATACTGCTATGGAATGGTTTTTAAAAAGGTATGATTTAAAAAAGCAATCAAATCACTGATACTAATATAATTTCCTTAAATAGAATGGGCAGTTAATGATGACACAACTAAGTGCGCTAATAGTGCAATATAATATATGAATTTCGCTTTAAGCATGATATAATGTATAGTTTTATGGTATTGTTCTGAAATTACAGTTTTACTTTTAGTCCAGTATTTATTCAATAATCAAACTAATAAAGTAGAATCTATTTCGTTGATGAACGGAATTTTTCAGGTGCACCACATTTGTTTGTTTTAATTGTACACTATTACAGTATGCATGGATATAGGTTACGAGTGGTACGATTAGTTACATAATTTTGGGGGTAAATATCTGTAAAAAGAAATAAAAGAAAACTGTTTTATTAATTGTTATTAATTTGTGTAATAATCTGAACAATTTTTACTGCAAATAAGAGATATTTCGGGAAATAAAACTCTCGCATACTTAGGAAATATATACAAATTTATTTTTTGTCAAATCGTAATTGGGAAAAATACATCAGTTTACTAATTTTAATTATGTTCCTTGGAAATATCGTCATGTAAATTAGTATAAACTGACATCTACGTAAAAAATTCAAAGATCGGTCAACGTAATTGCTTAAAATTGATCATATTTGGTTAAATATTAACTATGTCAGATTTCACTTCTAATAAGTGCTGTCGCTTAACGTGTTTACTAACATTTATTTTTTGCTTAGCCTTATATTGACAGTAGGGGCACCGAAATTGAGGTTCTTTACCGCACTCATACTTCAGATGATTTCTCAAACTATTTCTATACTTGTAGCTTCTATTACATTGGTGACAAACAAAATCTTTTGATGCTTTCTGATTGCTTAACTTTTGATTATTTGAAATCAAATTATTCCGTTCTTGATTTATACAACTGGCTGTTCTCCAAAGAATTATTGGTCCACCATTCAATGGCAAAAACAACGTATTTGGTAACGAAAGCGATGTCAGGCATGCGTTAGGAGCAATCTCAACTAAAAAAATAAATAAATATAATTATTGTGTGTTAGTAGGGAATAAAAAAAATACGAATTATTTTGTCATATAAGTGTCGAAGTAATTTATTCTAAGAAAACTGTGACTTTTAAACAACTACTCACTTCTATTGCTACAATTACTACTGATTTTAAAGTTGAAATTTAATTCGAGATGAGTAAGGTTAAAAAAGGTTTGAATAAGGAAAAGATTTTTCATTAAAAAAATTATTTTATATTTAAGTACCTTCTACATAGTTTGGTATAAAAACTATATTACCTTACAAAGTAAATGATAGGACATGGTATATAAATGCATGTAAAAATAAATTTTAATTTTCAATAATAAATTTTCACAATAGTAAATATCGTTCAATTAATTATCAGAATACATTATTATAACCTTTTACCTTCGAATACAATTAATTTTCAAAATAACCTCATAAAGAGCCCATTTATTACGATCACTTATAAATGGTATAAGTGATTATCTTTGATGTGCAATAATCACACAAAATTATTTTATATAATTAATACATTAAATTATAAAATTAATAATTAAGTACTACAGTAGCCGTTTACAGGAATGTGGAGTCGCAATAAATATCAGACACTTGGTTTTACAATACTTAATACTTAGATATGTATAACACCATTTATATAAAACAATAATCTGGCATGACAGTTTCATTGATAAATAACCATCCTTATATCTATAATTAAGCAGTTCACTTTCGTGATTTGAACATTATCTTTCTTAAAAATAATTATCTGAAGAAAAATTTCACGTTTTAATAACACGATGAATGATTCCGATTTGTAATTTATAAACCTTATGCGCTTATTTCTTTCAAGGCACAATTTTGATCACTTACAATTTTCACAAAAAAAATTACCAAAAATATCATATAGTGGATCTTAGTTTTATATACATATTCAATTTAAAGCGCATTCGTTTTAAAATGGAATGTTGAAAAATTATATTTTATATGAAAAATATACTGTATTTTTACAGCTTTGTCGAAAGCATTCGTACCTTCATCATTTACGTGTTGAGATTTCTCCAAGGGCAAAGGAATACATTCTTTTATTCCGAGAACGAAACACTACTCATAGTTATGTATTATTTTTGTGTCCAATAAACGTTTCCTAATTAATCTTCATTAAAAAACAAATTGTTTCGCTCCCACAGATCTATTGAATATTTTAATCCAACATGTGTATTTGTAATATAAAAATTTTATTTTTGTTATTTTAATTTTCATTTGCCTATCATACTACAACTTTAACGTTTATTATAACCAACCCCATGTTTCAATCTAGAAATACGACTTAAATGTAAAATCTTTCGCACAGTTTAAAATCGATATATCTTATTCATATATGCTGTGTGATAGATAAACAGAATAAATTAAGCTATTTTTTGATAAATAAATAACTCAAGTCTTGAAATAATCCATAGCAGAATCATTATACTGCTCTGAATAAACTATTACCTGCATTAAGTGAAGTATCCCAGTACTGAATTCCCTTAATAGGTCGTATAAATTATTACATTATTTATGCTATTACATTAAGTAATGAATGCTTTGTATGAGTATTTTCTTGTGAGCAATCTTACATTTTATCAAACAATGAATATTTACGTATTCGTTTGAATTATCTTATTTATATTCTAAGTAGAGAGAGAAAGAGAGAGAGAGAGAGAGAGAGAGAGAGAGAGAGAGAGAGAGAGAGATGAGAGAGAGGGAGAGAGAGCAATATCAACTCAGTCGTTGAATTTTCGATCAGATAATAAATTAATAATATGTAAGTACTATTAAAGAAAAAATCTCTGGACCGCGTCTTATAGCTTTGAATTACCCTAAAATTTAATGCTATTTAAAATTGACCGTTCAGTGATCTATTCTGCATGAAAGCGTATACTATTGTGTAAAAAACACAAAAATTGAAATGTAATATTATTTTTGCTTGAATATTGATTATAAGCATTGGAATGCACTTGATTATGAAAAGTATTTTTTGAAATCTCGACGAATGATCTTGACTTTTAGGTAAAGATATAAAGTCATCTTTACTAGGATTTGGCACCTGTTGGGCTAGTATTATTGTCTTCAAATATCCTATGACTCTTAACATCAAAGTTTGAATTGCGTAATCAATATTCATTTATTTTGTGTTTTTGAAATATTTTCATTAAATGACCAATTATAAATTATCCCGACTGATGGTGTCGTTTGTAATGCACAGTGAGGTTTCCTCTCTGCCTAGCTTTGTAAGGACACTGGGGACATTGAAACGACGGAGGTTTATCTCCGCATTCCAGACTTTCGTGCCTCCGCATAGTGCTCTTCCACCTATAACCTTTACCGCAGAATCGACATTTGAACTCTCGTTGTTGGCTTGGTTCCTGAACTGAGGATACCGCAGCCTGTTGTTGTCGTTGCTCTTGTTGTTCTTGCTTCAGTCGTTGTTGTTGTTCAAGTTGGTGACGCGAGACAAGACCGAGAGACGCGGGAAAACCAAGACTATCACGAGATGACGAAGCATCGTCGTCGATCGGTTCAATTTCCAACTCGTCGCGATTTGGTAGGCGAAGTTGATGCTGATCACTACGGCTGCGAGTCAGTGGGCGTTGCTTCTTTTGGAACTGCTTGAAGTTCCGATGCAGCAGAGATATCGTGCTCAAGCGATTGGGTTTGCCTGTAGGCAGAGATTTTTATAAGTAATTCGCACCGATTCATAATGGCATTAAAAATGAAGAGAAACAAAAGAAAAAATTTTTTGAATAAAGAAAAGAGAAAGTAAATTAGGTGCATAATAATGTATAAATGTATAAGAACTAGTTACTTTTAGAGATGAGACCATCACCAGTAAAATGAAATGACTGTAAAAATATACAAAATATAAACAAGATATATATATGTATATATAAATAAAGAAACTCAAGTTATAATATAACAAAATTAACTATGGACTTTGTTTCATGCGACAGAACATTAGATTATATTAAGAGAGCAGGTCTTTATTTTTCATTTAAATAGTGTATAAAAAATATTACTATACAGCTGAAAATATAAATATAAATCAATAAGCATTATCTGACACATCGTATCACTACTTTATTGTAAAAACTCTGTAAAAAGTGCAAATAAATATAATCTTACGATAATAGTCGCGACAAACAAAACGAATACGGTATTCTACATATATTGCTTGAGAAATGTTCCAAATGTTTGATTTCTTTATCGCAGTCAATACTGTTGCATAAACATCGCGTTATTGATCATTTCAGGTGTCTGTTGTGTATTGCTAGGTTTATGGACATGATCTATATGCTGGCGTATGATCTTGCGTCGGCAGCTCTGATACGGACAATATGGACAGGTATATTTCGTGCGATTTTCTTCGTAACTCATGTGATTGTAAATCGAGGTGAGACTTTTATAATATTTTCTACAAATGGTACATTGATACTCGTAAAATTTACGACATGTTGGACACGTTGACTGCAATAGCGATGGCGAAATCACATTATAGGTTCGGCATGTTGGACAACAGAATTGGAACATCTGCGATAGTCCTGAAAAGTGAGGTTCCATAAAGAATTTTATTCACAAGAGAATTTTCGCTCAAGGTTAGTAAAAGGACATTACTTAATTTTCGGCTACTCCATTTTCTCTCTGCCATGGTACTTGTCACCGATTCGTCAATTATCAAGGCGTTATCATCTGAATCTGAATCACATGTTTCTGTAACATATTCAAATAGCTGAAATTTACCATCATACTACTTAAAACATAAGTGCATTTGGCAGGCAGTCGTTTTCATTGAAACTATATCAACGTGCTAACATTTATACATTGACGATCATGCATCATAGTGAATGAGTAACAAATCTTTGTAAAAAAAAAATTAAGTGAAAAATGTGTATTCATTCTAACTAAAAAATCAACTTTTTATTTTTAGAATTTTTGCACTTCATTATAAAACTTATATATATAGCTCATCAACTTCAAGAAACACTTAATTATTTTCCAGTAATTAGTTTTCATAAAATTTTTCCTCATAGAAATAATGACCGTGGGTAAATATATTAGTTTTGCAGATGATTTTACAGCGCTTGCATTAAAACGCATAGATTTTATTATATTTGGAGCATCATCTTCTTTCTCCACTATAGATGCTTTTCTTACAAGAGAGAGGTATACTACAATTTTGGCATACTGGATAAAAAAAGCCTAAAAATATAATTTTTATGTAATATATTTCTCCACAAAAAATAATTGCAAGCATTCTCGCACTATGAACACGATCGAACCAGTTTTGGACTTCTGAAATAACTATATTTTCAACGTTCTTTGATTTGTTATTCTGCATGGCGGACACAACACCTGTAATAATTCAACTAGATAAGCTAATATTATAGATTTTTAAATGCGATTGAGTTCAATGGGAGTGAATACCTCACATTCTCATAGATAAAAGTCTTAAATAATTTCGGAAATGAAAACTGATTTCTTAAATTCTTAAAATTTTGTTGCATCAACAGGAGGAATTTTTTTATACGTAAACTTTGTTCCTATATAACATAAAATCTTTTTGTTATTCTTAGTTGTATTACAATCTGTAAAATAAAAAAATTATTTATGTTAAAAACAAATCATTTCATGTAAATGAAACCATGGACGGAACAGATGTATTTATAAAGATGTCGAAGTTAAAATATTTAAAAAAATCACAATCGATGAGATAATTTTCCATGCTAATTTTTCATGAGATGATGTTTTTAGGACGAAATCAATAAAGAAAGATTAAGTAAACATTTGAAGATATGTTTATTTTGTACACAGTCATGAAAATATTATCTGTCATACATCATATGAAAGTATATTTATCTTTTTTTATCTAGCCTGGAGAATGCTCCTTCTTCTTGCAATAATGTTCCAGGTGACACTTAGCAAAACCATATGTTTTTGAAACTTTATTACAATTGATACACTGATACTTTAATGGCTTTACACACTCTGGACAAATACTCACTCGTAACTCCGATGAGCTATTGTAAGAGCGTTTGCAGTTTGGACAATACGTCTTTATAACGTTAGTCAAATCTACAATAAAAATTACTTTAAATATCATCTTATCACTAATTTAAAACCACATCTAAAGAATTTACCTCTGGTATTGTAACTATAGGCTTCCACAATGTATACAATTTCTGAATGACCATCAGTGAAACGAGCGCATGAATCTGAAAACAAAGTAACTAATTATTATCTGATCTAATGAATTTAATTGAGCCACATTTTTATTACTTCGACCTTAAAGGGAGGTGGTAAGTCAATATAAAATACATAGGGTTATCGACGCTTACCGACATGCCTTTAATATTACATTATTTTTATTCAGTTATGAATTTATTCAAAATAGCTCAGTCATGTACCATTTCGTAAATCAATCCGAATGGTGCATGTCTGACATAATTACAAAGAATTCAAAACCTGAAAGAGAATAATGTAATATTCGGAGTGAATTGAGTGATGTTTTTGTAATCTAGCTACTACGTCCCTTTAAAAATTAATTGGTCACTGCCGTTCTGTTACAGTTTGCAGTAGTCTAATATTATACATCTCGTCACTCTTGAAGGGTTAGTCATAAACAATAAATGTTAATTATTAAAAAATAAATATTTATTCATGTCATTATAAAATTATATTATAAAATTATAATCGAATAGGTAGTTTTATAAATTTACAAAGATTAAACAAATTTTCTATATAAACTCGGCCTATACTAGTCCAGCCATTCTTTTTCGAATCAATTTCGTTAGATATTTCTTCAGATATTAAAGATATTGTTCTAACAGTCATTCTATTAGTATAATATTTTTTACAGTTGTCGTCACTTACTCAGTTCATTTTATCTGAAAAAATAAATAGCATGTTAGTCAGAAACGACAATCAGTTTTCACTTAACCTTATTTCAATTAGAAAAAAGTACAGGCTCAAAATAAAATAGGTGTCAAATTGGAAAATTTCATTTGAAGTAAATTTGAAACTTTATTGTATAACAATTGGAATTTTACATGAAGATAACTTTGACAGTTAATAGTCACGTTATAAGTTTGGTTGTTATATTAATAGTAAGAAATATCAGTAAATATCTTAAGAGTTAAATATGGATAAAAAAGCACAATTGCATTGTGTAATATGGCATGCTTAAAGTCGATAAACACTATAACAGACTGTAAGCCTATATAAGTAGAAGTCGTGTATAAATGCAAAAACCGCATATAAGCTATATAACTTTGGAATATCCAAATATCGACAGCTTAGAAGTATAACGCGTACGTAAAATTGTCAAAAAAGATTCTAAAAACTACGAAAAAAGTGTTATATCAAAAAGATTAATCCTAATATAGTTGGGTTATTGGAGTTTAATTAACTAAGTATTGCTTAATACATCAGACTTTTGGAATTCTACCGTAAATCTATATATTTTCCATGAAACTATCTTATTCATGTATTCCAAAAAAAAGAATCTCATGACGAGATCTCATGTGGTTTTTCAATTGATACTTAAGGTAACACTTGTAATCGCAATGCCCACAGCAAAAACTTTTCTCTTTGCCACAGTTAAACTTTCGATGTCTTTTAAGAGTCTGCGAGTGTTTGAAACTTTTGCCACACCATTCACACTTGAACAAATCATCGGTGGTGACCTCACGATGTTGTCCTTTCTCGTGAAGCTCCACTGAAGCCTTGTATTTGCTTGTAAATGAGCAATATTGACATTTGTAGGCAGCTTGACGTTTGCAGGTGAGTTTTTTATGACGACGTAAATTCTCGAAACTGGCGAACTTGGTACCGCAATCGATACATGGTACACGACCTTCTTTCAACTCGATTACCTCAGGATTGCCGCAGATTGCTTTTAAATGGCAATAAAGCGTCATGTATTTCCGAAAGATTTTCCGGCATTTGGAACACTGAAGCAACAGACACGTGCCGCAATTCTCACAGGTGATTATCTTTTTACGCGGAGGTTTCTCAAAGGATTTGTTGCACAGTGAGCAATGTAAAAGAATCAGTTCTGGAGGACCTATTCAAAAAAAAGAAATTCAAGTTAGCGACGTTTAAATTAAAAAAGATTCAGGAAAATTACTCACAGGTATATCTTTCGAGGCGTTCTTTGTACGGCTCCACGATTTCTATAGCTCTTTTGATCACAGTTTCTCGAACACCGTTTCCTAAGTTAAATCAATACCCATTTGCACCATTTAAAAAAATCTAACAAGCTTATAAATATGCATACCGTTCAGATGACCGTCAGCTTCTTTATTCGGAATTTTCTCCTCGACAGCTTTCGATGCGTCGCCTGAAATATAAGTTGTGTCGAAGAAAAAAATTATTAATTTTGTTCGCTTATTTTTCATCTAATGTCACTCGCATGCTCTAGATACCAAGACTGAGCAAACTACGAAAAAAAAAATCATTCATTACAATATTCGCATAGTAAAAATATTAAAAGATAAAATATATTGCAAAAGTTGTAAATTTTGGAAAAATTTGAAGGATATGGAATAAAAGGCAACAACGCTTATTTCCATAAGCATTTATTGACAACAAAAGTAACCATCAAAACTAACAAATAAAATCTTCATGAATTAAAATAACATTGATAAAATGCTATCAATGATCAAATAAAGTTACATCTCGACTAAATAATTTTGGTATTTCAAGCGACATTGGCAATCTTTTTGCAGAGAAAAGCTTCGTGCTTTCTGAAATAACTGGTAGTCTTGTATCTCTTGCCGCATTTCGAACATTTGTGAAACTCATGAAATTCCAACATATGTCTACACTTGATATGCTCTCTGATCCTGCTCTTGTAATTACTTTTGTAGTGGCAATGATCACACTGTAGAGTTGGCATCTTGCCACAGTCGATCAACTGATGTTTTCTCAAATTCTTATAATTCTTGTAGACTTTTTTACACTGATCGCAACTGACAGCTTTGTTAGGATCATAAGCTGCATGAGCGTTCTCGATGTGCGCCACAAGTCCTTTTCGATGATTCGTTCGAAAATCGCAAAGTACGCAACCAAAACCCAAACGATTTCGACATTCCAATTTTACGTGAGATATCGCACTTCGTTGGTGATTGTAACGTTTGTCGCAGTTGACGCATTGATACTGAAGAGCTCTCTCGCATCTTTCGCATTCGTTTTGCTTTACGTTGTGTTGCTTTTTAAATGTGCAGTTGCAGTGCTGGCAGTAAAGTAAGATTAGATCTTTTGAAGCTGAAAATAAATATATCTGAGATGGGAAAATTATTTTTTGCCTCTGCATTTAATGGGTTGATAACTTACAGAATTTTGCAGTGGGTGTTGATGAATTTTTATATGTATAGTTTGTTGAATCGAATGTTGGTGAACTTTGATCGACATCTTCATAGACTTCTATTTTAAGATAAATAATTTTTAATTTTTATTAATTATAAAATTCAGCAAGTGTTCATTCATAAGAAATTAACGTACTTGGGTAATCTGGTAGTATAAAATCAAAAGAATTCTGCGGTGAATCGTCATATTCATCTTTCATGATCATTTCAATTTCTTTAAGTGATAAACAAATTTACATTTGCATTAGCGATTATCAAAAATATCGGTATCGAACTATAATATACCTGCTAGCTTCTGGTTTTGTTCCAAATTAATATAATCTGCATCCTTATCCTTCACTTTATTGTTTTTGGTATTATTATTATTCAAAGTTGGCACTGTTGTCAAAGACGGACCTGATATAAAGAAAATCTAATTAGTTTGAATTTTTAAATTGTTGATATATTTATCATTATAAATTACCTGTGAAATTTTCTAGTTGATTGGACGATCGATAAAGCCCATTCGAATTTATGATTTTTAATCTCAACAATTCTTTCACAGGCTTTCCTAAGGAAATACAATTGAGCATTATTAAAAGTGTATTAGGAACGTGTTAGATTTCAGGGAAGGGGTAGGTAAGTGAGGATTCTTAATTTATTTGAAAACCCGTGGGGCACCAAGGAATATTATACGTAAAATACATGCATAACCACCATTATATTATAATAATAATATGTCTTTGAAGTACGTGACATATCTTTATTAAGTAAGTCTGATATAATTGCTACAAAATATCACTACAAATAACTTAGATTAAATAAGTTGTTTAGAAGTATATTCATATTAACGATTACAAGGAATGTAAAATAAATAATTGGTACAGTTATTCTTATTCAAAAAAATAATGATAATTTTAGAACTTCGTCTTCTTTTTCTTCTTCTTTTCAGCAGCTTTTATTCTCATATTTTCCTTGAGTGCGCAAATCGGCGCATCCTTTAAGTGTCGATTGAGTATGTACATGCAGTGATAATTAGTCTTGCAATACCTGCAAACGAAATCATTTTTTCCGTATACAGCTGGATGTTGTCTTTGCATGTGTATCGCCAACAACGGATACTTATGATAAGTCTTGTACTCGCAATGTTCGCATTGAAGTGTCGGTGCCTTGCCGCAAATCGTATCCACGTGTTTCTTAAGTGCACCCTTAGTACGATAAATCTTTCCACATTTTTGGCAGTCGAACGATACGCTGTCGTCCCTTTCATGTCGGTTCTTTACGTGGTTTGTTAATGACTTGCGGTACTTGCTTTTGAAGTCGCAGTAATTGCATTTGAATTGTAAACTGCCACATTCGCGCGCCATGTGCTCCGACAAGTATCGCTTGAGCTTAAACGTCTTGTCACACTTTTCGCATTTAAAATCGGATTCTGGCAAGCTCTCAGCGTGTAAAGCTTTCATATGGTCATTCATGCGATCTGAACGCGCGGTTTTATAGAGGCATAATTGACAAGTGAAACGTTTTTCTTTGCCGCAAACATATTTTAGGTGCATTGTTATGTCATTGTATTGACGATAACGACGTTTACATTTCATACACTGAGAATAAAGCCACTCGTTGCAATTCGGACAGTGTGTTTGTCTTTGGCCGTAAATTTTGGCATATACTCGTGTACACATTGGACAATACAGCTCCATGCGAGTATGCAAATCTGTAATGATTAAAGTATATTTTTAATTCTTTGACGATTCAGTTCTATCATTTGCATAGGAAAAATAATCACTCACGATATTTGTTATGTATTTTTCTAGTTGTCGCTAAATTTGGGAAACTAGTAACTAATTCAAGTGGATTCTTTTCTTGAAAATGGGAAGTACCTGGTAAATGTAACTCGCCATCTTTTTCATTTTCTATATTAATAAAATATATATATTATATATTTTCTTCAATCAAAATAGGTATGTTAAATAAATTTAACATACCAATGATGTGTACTTTTTTTTCATCGTCATCAGAGATATCAATTATTTCCTCTTTTACTGTAATGAATTCTGTTGATGGAATAGGTTCTGAAACATAATCAAATTGGTGTTGTAAGTCATTATTAAATTTAAGAGAAAACTACACATAGCATGCACTTTATTTTGTGAAAAATATACAATGCCAAGATATTACCGATCGTGAAAAATCAACCACCTAAAAATGTGCACCGAAGCACACATTTTTTTAAGGTCAACTGTTTCTTGAGGTTAGTGTTTGAGAAATGATGGGAATTGTATAAAAATATATTTTTTCAGCTATGAAAGTAATATTTATTGTCAAGTTTTACAAAAAATCGCGATAAGATTTTCATAAAATTTTTACAATAAAAAATTAATCCTAATATGTAGGAACTCCTTAATAGAACACATAAAATATATAAAATACAATATTGTATCAAACACCTCACTTTGATATAAAACACATGTCTCTTTTTATTATCAATCTTATAATCTATCAGTCAATTGTACATTAAAAATATTAGTGCATTTAACAACTTGCATGTAACTGGCGATTAACTAATCAGTTAATGCTTGTGCCTGATATGTCTATCAAGGCTGAATTTTCTCTTAGTTTTGAATTCGCAAAACGCACAAAAAAATGCTGGATCCTTGCCACACTCGAAATTGACGTGTCGTTTCAGAGTAAATTCATTCTTGTAAATCCTCCTGCACTTCGGACAGCTATACTTTATTCGTTCATACTCATCGGCATGCTTACGTAGAAAGTGTCTAACTATGTTGCCCTTTTGAAGGGACATATAATCGCAGTGTGCGCAGCCGAAACGTGGTATTTTTTCACATTCGTAATTCTCGTGACGCCATAAGCTGGTTGCGTATCGATACTCTTTATTGCAATTCTATGGAGGGTGAAGTGTTAGTTAAAGCGGGTTGGTTTTGAAATCCAGAAATCAACAATTATTTTAATGTAACAACATTTACGGAAATAGGCAAAAATAATAAAACAATTATTATCAGATGAATATGAACAAAGATCAAGACACGCAATGTGAATCAAAGATACTGATGACATCATTTATACGTTTTGTATTTTACATAATGACATCAGAAGCATGTTTGATTATTTGTGACTTAAAGAAGAAACTTACATTTAGACAGACAAAAAAACTTTATGCTATTGTGATAAATAAAATATGACCATTACTTTGCAAGTCAGCGTATTCGTTGGGGCCCCATTGCAGGGACTTTTACTCAAATGCCTATTGAGCGTCTTCTGATTGCGAAAAGTTTTGCGACAAGCATCACAGGAAGTTTTTTCACCATTTTTCAAATGTTTACTTGCATAATGACGTTCCATCGCACATGTAGTCTTGAAATGTATATGACAATCGGAACACTGGTATTTTGGACTCTTAACTCTCATTAAACATTCGTGATTAACATGACGACTCAGATGGCATTTTTTTTTATATGATTTTTCGCAGTTTATACAGTGGTGTCTCTTTTCTGCTTCATTTTTGGAATCTAAAAGTATCTCTAGTTAAAAAAGAATAATTAAAGTCTAATTTCAAAATATTTTCCTTAAGGACATCTTACAGTTTTCTTCGTTGTCACTTATGACTGCACTTTTCGTAAAATTTTCTTTTACCTGTTGATTCAATTGATTTTCCTTCTGTAATTCTTTTTTCAGAATATTAGAATTAATTTTTTCAAAATACAGTTCTTTAGCTTTGTCATTGTTCAAATCTTGAGAAACAATTTCGTGAAAATTATTTAAAGGTTCTTTGATATTCGGAAAAAATCGATCGCTCATATTACCACTAAAGCCTACAATTATTAATTTTAATTAATTAATTTATTGATCTGGAATTCTCATCAAGTAAAAAAAATAAGGATCTTACATGAGAAATTTTCAGTCTCTTTAAAAATTAAAAATTTTAATTTTAATTTTAAAAATTACTAAATTCTCAAAATACAATTGATCATCTGCAGCAATAGCAAATTGAAAAAAATAAAAATCAATTTAACGCCACTGCTTTCTGTATAAAATTCAAATCCTCAAATTCAAATTACCTGCATCACAACCTTGAAATTCTGGTTCGCACTCGTCCTTGACCTTGACCCGATCCCCTACATCTCAGTCATCCTTTCTCACCCACTGACCGTCAAATGTACTCCTATCCGAGTCATATTCAATCGATTTCTGTATTTTGATTTTTGACGGCCAACCACTACGTCGCTTATTTTTTTTATTTGCATGGTTTATCTCTAAATCTATTTTCGGTTCCTCTATTTTTATGTGGAAAAAATCTATCGCACTGTATTAAATTTTTTTGTTTTTATAGCGCACTTATTATTTCTTTGCAAATTGTAAATATTTACATTATATTAAAAAATCTAATACTTGACAATAAAAAAACTTATGTAATTTATGAAATCAAATTTAATTTAATAAATAAAAATTCACTTAGATACTTTATTATTGAATAATAAAATTTTTAAGTAAATACTATAATAAAAGATACGCATGTATTATTTGTCATTTTTTATAAAACTTCTTCAAAAATAAAATAACTCACAAAATGTCAATCAAAATGTGTTATTGTATAAATTTATTTCTATAATTAATATTTAAATGGAAAAATAACGTTTAAAAAATATCTCACCTTAATAATCTAATCTTTAAATATAAATAAGCAAGCTACTGTCACTTAACACTTATCAAAACAACAATTCGGATCAACAGTCATAATACAAAACTAATGCCGAATAAAACTAAATGTTACCTCTTAGGTATAATCGTAGAAATATTTCTCTTATTTCCATGAAATTTCTCCATCTTCGTGAAAAACTACAAAAATCATCAGCGATTTCCATCAGATAATTAATGCAGCCTCAGTATGGATAAGCAACAGGCACCTTCGAATTCCACGCTCGCATGTAAACAAACCTAAGCAGTCAAGCAGCGCAGCAGTACTATAGTAGTGTAGTAATAGCGTTAGGTTAGGTTGTCACAGCACACCAACTACATACAAATTTTGAGCAAAAGAAAAATGATATTACACAAAAACACAGTGGTTGCCGATCGGCAGCAAGGAAAGCGCGAATCTCGAATTGGTTTGTCAGCAACAGACGGTTAAAACTAATCTGCTTTTTTCTCAGCTGATACACACAATATACACGCGTCGTGCCGATGTTGGCTCGAAGCTGCGTGCGCCTGTGACTGCCGTACTACGTAACGGTTTTCCCCCACCGGTGCGCCCAACTTTCCGTGACTCATGGGCTCTCTTTCTTTCTTTCTTTCTTTCTCTCTCTCTCTCTCTCTCTCTCTCCTCTTCGCTTCCGAGTTTTATCTGTGTTACGCTTCTTGGCGCGACTCGATGCGCCACTCCGAACGATGCTTTCTTGCGGCGCGCAGCGTTGTGTGCAGCTTTCGCCGATACCGTCATCGTGGCGCATCTGCCTGCAACAGAGTTTAGAACGCAAACAGATCGTTGGCCTGAATTGGGCGATTTGACGATCTTCACGTTTTCTTTCTTAAGAAGATTGAGCTTGCAATGCCATTTTAATGGTGATTACTTATGGTGAGAGTGAAGGAAAAGTTGTTCTGGTTTTATTGTATTTTGCTAGAAATAACGTTAGTATATGGATTAATTATACTACTTATAATTAATTAATATAAATAACTTTTTATTTTTACGAAATAGCTTTTTTCAATTGTTTTAGAAAAAGCACTCGCTTCATACCATACAAAGAATTTCACACGCTGTGAAATCTAATTAACAACTTAGAAACCCGACAGCTCCCTTGGAAAAAGATACTTTTGCTTGATCGCGAAGTCAATTCACATGTTGAATGCAATGTAAATAAATGTTGCGATGCAAAATTAGGCGTAGCTGAAAAATATAATATATTTTATTACTAAAATATTCAATATTGTTTTAGTAAAATGTGGGCTATTTTGCTTTTTGAAAGAGAAAAGAAAACACTTTATTGTACGATGATCGCAATTACAATTAATAACAGTACAAGAAATCGGATTTTACTTGTATTTTATACATATATTTTTTTCATATTTATTTTAATTATTACAAATTGTATGTGCTATAATTCATGGAATTATAGCACAAATAATATCAACATTTTAATCTGAATACTAGCAAGCATAGACTTAGTTTTGTCGTTATAAAAAAAGTCTTCGATTCTTTTTAAACATTATAACAGAAGCTGTTTTTCCTACGTAGTCAAGAAACAAATAAATAATTATTGTTATCTTTCTTAAATCGAACCAATTACCTTTCATAAACTTATTGATATTATTTCCCAATAAGAATTGTTATTTTACAAATACCTTTAGACCCGCATAATATAATACAATTCGAAATGAAAAGAATTTCATTTCCTCGATGACCTCGTATATCCAGACCGATTGACAAGTGGTTCAGTCGGATGTTTCCGAATCATATGTGTCGTAAGGTTACTCTTCTGCTTGGCCCTATGATCGCAAAAGGGGCACTTGAACCTTGGTGGTTTGTCACATTCGTGAAGGTAATGCGTACGCATGTGATGTCTATACTTGTAGCCATTTCCACATCTCGGACAATGATGCATCATCATTTTATTCGTGGCGGGTATCTGGTCCGGATGATGTTGACGTATGTGTTCGCCAAGACGTCGACGACTTAGGCAACGGTAATTGCAGTCATTACAAAGAAGCTCCACTTGTTGGCCCATTAAGTCGTATTCCACGTTCGACGCTAAGAAAATAATTTTTTTGTCGTTCTATTAAAAAAGCTCCGTGATCTCTTAAAATGTTGAATACTCACTTTCGAATTCGCTTTGTGCAAATTCTTCCTTGACGTGGTTTTCATTGACGTACACAAATACACCTGCAACAAGAAAGTAGCGATGTTAGTTCAAAAAGAGCATTTTATTTGTAACTAATAACTCCAATAAAGTCAGAAATGAGGTAAATTTACATTATTTAATATTTTCTCTACTAGTGTTGACAAAAAACTTCAAACTGTGAATTATCCAAGTGCAAAATGTACAAACATTAGTTTTTATTAGTAGATAAATATTAGCCTGATTTGGAGGAGTAACAGGATTTAAATATACATTTGAAATTTCATTTGAAGATATTTTTCTTGAATATAAGAAAAAAAAACTTAAACTATCGTATTAATATTGTACGAATCCTTTATTATTTGTTATAGCTGTTTTTACAGAAATATAACTTCTTTGCATTTTTAACATGATGAAATTGATCGTTAACGTAGCATTAACATTTAAATAGCTCGCTTCTCATCTAGTGTATAATGCACAAATTTAAAATTCATTATATTAAACAATTAAATGCATCTTTATTCGGAGCCGAAAATTGTCAGTTTTAGAATGAATAAAAATTCGTCGATATATAATCGACTATCGTATATTATTATATTATTATCTCATTATCGACTACTATACATTAGCAACATTTTTTTCATATAGCAAAAAAATATATTTCTTATTAGTCATCATACTTGTAACTTTTTCATTAAAATATCAAAACTGACTTACACACATTGTCATTATGCAAACGTAACAATAATTGCCGCGCTGCTTTGCATGACATAATATTTTTGTTTCCAATTGTATTTTTATTCGTGCGCGACTATATTTGATGCATCCTTCTAAAAACGAAAATTTCAATTTATCTAGATACCTTAAAAATAACAGAAAAAATCCAAGTAACTTTTACTATTCGCAGCTACTAATCGTGAACAACATTTCACACAAATCGTCATACATATCAACATATAACATACTTAAAAAAAGAGGAAGCAAAAAGAAAAAAAGAAGAAGACTAAGAACCCAAGAAAATTGACTCGCTTGACGGCAGTTCTCTCATTTGAGAACATAAAACTTGATGCTTTTGCCCTGATGACGTCTAACAATGTGTCTCTGCATATCGATCTTGTGGTTGCTACGATGAGGACAGTAAGAACAGCAGAATCGCCTTGGATTCTCACACTCGTACTTCATATGGCGTTTCAGATGCCTGGAATGTATGTAGGTTTTACGGCAACGTGGGCACACATTATTACCCTCTTCACTCGAGCCACCTGATTTATTGTTAGGTACTGGCAGAGGTACTTGAGGCTCGTACCATAGGCCACCGGAAAACTCATCGAACTCTGGAAAAGTCAGAGAAAAAGTGGGGATGGATTAATAAACGGCTCTACCCTTTATAGTTTTGTTGTTGTTTTGAGAGAAAAAATTTTTTCGTGAAGTGGGATGAGAAGTTGATGGTTGAGCTTTCGAGGCAGCAAAGATTGCAAGCGTCGTATGTATGTGAAATGAAATGAGTTTCTTTATAATTGGTTGTTTTGTTATAATTTTATTAGGATTCTTATTTTTTTGCAGTGATTTTTCTTTTAAAGAATTTATGCTATTATTTTTGCACAATATAATAATTTCTTTTTGTATTTTATCATTGTGTTTATTGTAATTACATGAAAAATTAATTTTTGGAAAACTTTTTTCCTTCATACGTTGAGACTGCACGAATACAATCCAAAGTGTTTTGTTATACATTATTTCTTAATTAAAAGTCCCGGTAGTTGAACTATAATATTTGAGGATATTTCAGACGAATCATCAAGACTAATACCAAAATTGTTTTGCAGATATTTGCTGAAAAATAAACATATAAGTTAAGATAGTAAGAAAATTCATTCTATACACTGATATAACTTACTCTTTTTTATGCGTGAAAATCTTCAAGCTTTGCTTATGGATACTCTCATACACGATTCGCATTTTCAGTGATATTCAGATAATATATTCAAATATAACATATATATTAAAAAATCAATTGATAATTATCTTTGAGTAGTATTGGGTGATTTTTAAATAGAAAAAATTGTTAGATGCTGCTGTTTATACATCAGTAAATAGTTTTTCATCAACAAACGGGACAAATTATTTAAGGCCACTACATCACTTGTATACTTTTTCACGTGGGAAATGTAATTAACGTTCAATGTGAAATCTAATTTGCATAACTGACAGAAATATATTACTTTGGATTTGAGTTGAATGTCTTGCTTGATTTCTCCTGCTCTCTTGAAAATTCTAATAGGACTATAAATACCTGAAAAATCAGTGTCAATAAGAGATTGAGGTATTTATTTTTTCATAGACTATAGCTTTTTATTTTTATTTTATTTACATTTTTTATTTTCACGATTGGCAATGGGCACCATAAAATGGGGTGTTTCAGGCGAGATATTCAATATGACTTATCTTATTATAGCTCTTTCTTGTTTCTTCTGACAACGTTATTTACTGCATTCTGAAAGCAATATCAAATTGTTAGTAAAAATGTCATAATGTCACAAATCAAAATCTTCATTTACAAGTTATTGCGTGCATTTTGTTATATAAAGAGTAATCAATGAGTTTCGGAAGTTGTAATGAAGGCACAGCTTGAAACGAGACTTGAAATATCAAATAAATTTATTCTCACTTTTAATTTCCTATACAATTTCAATGAATTACGTACTATAGACACATCTGTCTACGAATGAAGAAACGTAATAATAAATACATTTCAATGGAAGTGCAAATCACGAAGAAACAAATTTAGAAGAAGCTAACCGCTGTTTTCGCATATAAATATCTACCTAAATGCACTTGTGAATTATTATTCATTTCAGAAAATCGAGATAATAATCCTCACTACGACTGTATAATAATTATAGTCCACGCGGTTGATAAAAATCACAATCGGTTACTTCATAAAAACCATTCGCGAGATAGTATCTCTCGCGATTAATCTCTACATCGTCTCACTCGCCAAAATTAAAAAAATTTATTAATGATTGCACATTTTACAACACACTAGAAAAGAGAAGTATGCAATGGAAAATACTCATTTTCGGTAAGGAGACTAAGTTCATCCAACGATTAATCCGGTTGCACCTTAAATTTAAAGTCTTTGTCATGATGTTTAATGCGAATATGCCGGCGAATATCGGTTTTGCGTTTGCTCTTGTATTCGCAGTAGTAGCACCCGAATCTCGGAGGTTTGTCACACTCGTACTTCTCATGTTGAATCAGATGGGACGAGTGTTTGTAAGACTTGCCACAGCGTTGACAGACGTTGGGTTGGTCCATCCCCTCGGATACCTCGACGAACACCGGAGCCAACAGGTCGCACATTTCGAACATCGACAGTGGGTCTATAACTGCAAGCCAAGAGGTGATACAGTTAGTATGTTGCAGAGTTCTTTTTTCTTGTTGATACAAGTGCAATGTTTTATATGGTTGTGCAGATGATTTCGATACAGTGTGACGGATAATTGGAGAAAATAATATAGAGTATCATGAAAAAAATAATGATGTTTTTTGAATACTGCAAGCGGAAATAGGAAAAACTTTATTTAATTGATCTCTCTTTTTTTTATTTATCTGTAATCAAATTGTACGAACATAAATAGTGTATCATATAAATTAAAACGTTTTTTTATACTTCATCATAATATATAGATTTTTCTTTCCCTGCCAAAGAAAACAATGTTCTCTTGGAATTTTTAAACTAATGACAACTAACATAAGGAGCGTACAAAAAATCATCCCAGATCAAGTGTTACAAAATTCATTCATAACGTTTTTGCAAAATGACTATCAGCATCGTCGTTTATACTTAGTTTTGCAAACAAATTGATGTCTCTTCATAGTGTATGCGTGAAAAGTACGATAGCCGCAGGTTGAACAGTGAAATCTCGGTAGTTTGCCACACTCGTACTTGAGATGCCGCCTGAGATTACCAGGAGTCTTGTAAGCTTTTGCGCATCTATGGCACGTTAAACTTTCCGGCACCACAAGGTATCTCGGTGGATGATGATACGTCGCCATCAGCAGGTCTGAAAAGAAAATTGCTTGGTCAGTAACATTCACGTATCTCGCAATTGTCGTGATCTTTAACGGATTGGACGCTAAGTGTGAAATGAAGCTTGATGATATTGATTAGTCCTCTCATTTATTTACAAATAATAATGCTCATCCTTCAATCATATAACGTATATATTCAAAAACGCCAGTCAGTCCTCCTCTGGCGACAAACGACAAGATGTCTTTCCATATTGAATCTGTAGTAGCTCTTATAAGAGCACTCGGAGCACCGGAATCCTGGAGCCTTTCCACACTCGTATTTTTCATGTCGACTTAGATTACCAGCCGTTGAATACGATTTGCCGCACTTCCCACACGCCACGGAATTTCGTTTCGTATTCGGAGTCGGCCAGGTTTGCCGGTGAAGTGGCTGATTCCAGTTTGGTGGGTAACCTGAAAAAGAAATATACTGGTTACCGAGTGTTCAAAATGAAAGGCAAAAGGATTAGGTTAGTTATACATACTAAAGAATTTTAAATCACCGAAATATACATTATTTGATTTCTTTTATTTTATTAGTTATATTTACATTGGATGTTAGCATTTACGTAATAAACAATCACTTAAAAGCTACAATTATGTATATTGCATCATTGTATAATAAATCTTTTGGGGTAAGTCTTTAAAAAGCTCATTGTTTTCGACGTGGTTAAGCACGGCATTTAAAATTAACTCTAACAAGAGTATTGAAAAATCAGTAGTCTACATAAAGTAGATCTAAAGTAATCTGTACATCCTATATTTAAAAATTTACGAAATTAATTACTAATTATCTCAATTGATATTATAAAAGAACTCATTATTCTAACAAATAAATTCTTTAGTATCAATGAAGATTTATGCGTAAAATTAAATGGCAATCGATTATTTGACAGGTTGCTCTTGATTTTCGCTTTGAAATACGTCGATTTAAAACAAAGATAGCAAACAAAAGCCTCAATAAAATTCTACAAAACGTGAGTTGAAACCTAGAACATCAACAAACTAAACACGACTTCCGTAAATCTTTGTCAAATCGGAATGTTCGGCGCGCGCAACGTCGACAAAAGTAAAACTCATCTTGTGGCATCGAGCAATATGATTCTCCAGAGTATAATTGTAGTAAGACTTGTAGCTGCATAGAGTACACTCGAATTTGGGCGGCATGCCACATTCGTACTTCTCGTGTCGCTTGAGATTCTTCACGTGATTGTAACTTTTGCCACATTTGATGCACTTGAAGTTGTTCGGTCCTGGGAACTTCCTTCTCTTGGCCAGTATGTTAGGATGATGTCGCTCGCTGGGTAACTGGAGGGGATCTGGAATTTGACGGGAAATATTTTTTTCGGTTAGTATCGTTACAAGGATTTCGAAAATTAGTGGAGGGTATTATGTATCGTGTTTGGTGTACGAGTATTGACTACGTGAGAGTAACTACAATGAGAATTGTTCGGGGAAGACTCGTTTATTATATACTTTCGATGATTTTTTACACAATTATAATTTCCTTGTCTGTTTGTTTATTAAATTTTTTCTTTGTATTGCACGACACTCATCCAACTACACGCACGCACGCACAAACACGTACACACGCACGCACCCGCGCGCGCAGTTCAGTTCCATACAAAACTACGAGACGAGAAAACAAAAATAACTTTATTCGGGATCGACGTTAATTCTGACAGGTTCCCCTTTGTGCAACTGTAGAATGTGCTGCTGTACATTGGCCTTATATTTGCTTCTGTGTGGGCAATAATGGCAGCAGAACCTGGCCGGCTTGCCGCACTCGTATCGCATGTGACGTCGCAGCGTGAAGTCGTGTACGTATGTCTTGCCGCATTGTACGCACATGTTCGCCTTATTCTTGTTGCCAATTGGCAGTGTTTGCGAGTAATTCGACGGGGTTATCAGTCCTTGCCACAGGCTCACTGTAACGAGAAATCAGTTTCATTTGCATTAAATCTCTTTTTTCGGAAGCTTAATTTTGTTTTTATATGTAGGGTACATTGAAACTTATACCATTCGCAAACGGATATACCATCTCCAAAAAATGCTGCAAGAATTGAGGTTATTGGTGTGCACTAAAATTAGCGTGAAGTAGTTATATATGCATGTTAAGGCATTATACATTCAAGGTTATTATTTATTGATAACTCGGTTTTATTAGATTTTAAAAAACGCGTTAATAAATCGTTGTGCTTTCTTGGAAAGCAAGAAGACCGATTACAATACTTTTGCGTCTCGCCACGTTGTCGAAATATTTAAAAGGTTGATATTTTGCCAAACTTCTTGAAATATAATTTTTATTTACACTTGAAGATACAATAAAGAAAATGAAATTTTTGTAATATTTCGCATTCGTAGCGAATTAGTCGATTTGAACTGCATTTTATCCTGTAATTACTACTGTAACCTTCACATCTAAATATTCGTGGATCTACAAAGTCGCGAATTGTCTCATTGCCACTTGATATTATTTGTTGATAGTAACTTTCGAAGGACATAACAAACCATCTGAAAATATAATACAAGTAAGTTAGCGATAACATAATATAGAAATGAAATAATGAGACAGACGAATTTGATATTAAAAGATACAATTTTTATAGTTTACTCTTTGTTTTTATTGGAAAACTCTTTTTTACAAATTGATTATGAACGTTAGATTTGTTAATATAACGAAGGAAGAAAACATGATCTATGATCATGGAAATATTGTAAATATTCTATGTCAAGAGATAAAAACAAGTATGTTTATGTAGACGTAATATTCCAGAGTAAGATCGATGTGATCTTAAGTAATCAAATATTATATCAATATTTTACAATACAAGTCGATGGTACATTATAGATATGGTTACAGAATATTATTGTGTGGATTCGTATTAGTTAATGGATACTGTTTCTCACAGTATAAATAATATTAATTTTTAAATAATAAGGAATTCTTTATGTATAGTTTGAATGGTTCAAGCACGAAACGTGGCATGGTATCTTATGGTAACTTAAAAATCAGTGATGTGTCAGTATTTGATTTTATATATTTATTCAACTAATTAAATAAGAATAATTCTTAACAGCTGTATAATTAAACCAATTACACATGGCTACTAATACACCTTATAATTTATTTCACGAAATATTTCAGATTTGAAAAAAATTTCAGTGAAGCTATTTAATAATTTCTTAAGCTTATCATCCAATTTCATTAAAAACACAAATAACATATAAATATTAAAACAATCATCCATGTGATTCTATTCACGGTTTCGCTGTCATACTTAATGTATCTTTACGTTTCTGACACGTGATAATATGGTACCTAAGATTATCCTTCCGTTTGCATCTGTAATCACAAAAACTGCAGCAGAAACTCGCAGGTTTGCCACACTCATACTTCATGTGTCTCTTGAGTGTATTGATACGCATATAGGATTTGCCGCATTGATGACAAACGTAGTCATAGTTGCATGGTTTACCACCAACAATACGAGTTACGATGCCATGTTTCGGTCGATACGCCAATGATTCCGATTTGACAATACGAAGACCAATTTTGTCGCTGGAGATTTCTGTTGGATCGAAACACTCGGCAAACAAGAAATCTGAAACAAGAAAAATTTGATTTTGCTGGTTAGTTTTGATGCGAATGACATTTTTGCGTTGACCGAAACCGCGAGCATTACTTTTTAAACAAACGATAAGTTGACAGCTGTTACTCATGGCGACTGTAGAATGGGATTAATTTACGGAACAATTATGGTTGCGTGAGTATTCACATAATTAGTTTACGTAATCGGTCATTCATTTTTTACGTTTAATAAAAAAAACATTTAAACTCCTTTTCCAGCTTGTACTTCGTTCATATAATTTTTTTTGACGTTATAGTTATCAGATTTAACTTTACTTGGTGACAGTCAGATGAAAGAGCCAATACCTTTTGTTAAATAAGATTCTGAAAAGATATAAAAATATTTTCAGTCAAACGATATCAATATTTTACTAACATTTTATGACAACAAGACTGCCCCTAGAGCTAATCACATAAAAATGTGCAGATTCCATAGATTAGGCTTTTTAAAGATAAAAATTATCTTTGCTGTTGAAAATATAAAATTCATTTGAACCATCTGTCAAAAATTCAATTTTAATACATTTTTTTACGTGTCCATTAGATTATTTTACAAATTCTCTGCATTCATAATATGTACACCGATATAAGTTTTAGTCGGAGAACTATATCACATTTATGTTATCTCGAACAAATTTACTTGCATGAAAAAATATTTTTGAAATTACAGTATATAATATCTCAGATCAATTTCCTTATGCTCTGTTGATTCTTGATACAGCCTTCGTTTTTGTTTGTCACGTCGTCCAGGGCAGTTATCATTACAATTTCTATTCTTAATATGTTTGTTCAAATCTGATTTATGCTTAGATGAAAAATGACATCGATCGCAAAAGAAGCTCGATTCCTTCTCACAGATGTTGACTTGAAGTATATAATCGTTGTCATGTGTCGCATCCAAATTTTTTCTTTGACTGTATCGTTGGATGACTATCGTAATTTGTAATTGTTCTCGGGTCGAAGAAGTTTAAATGTGACAACATTGATCGGAAGAGACGAGCTGGAATAGTAATATTATTTATTAAAATAGCAATTATCCGTTTAGTGCAGGTGGTTATTTATTTCTTTTCAATACCAAACCAAAAAAACTATACAAATAAGATTTTGGAATGTTCTTATTCAAACATAAACCAAGATATCTTTTCAAATCATTTTTACTATATATTTAACAAATGCTTCCAGTATACAATTAAAAATGTTCTTTTGTAAATTCATAAGTTTTCGGTATTTTATTTTGACTATGTTCTAATGTTAATATTTCCATTATTCCACTTATTAAAGTCAAAATATTATTGCACACCATAATCATCTTATTTTCATTCAATATTAAGGACAATATTAGAATGTTGGCCTCGCGTAAAACATTCTCCAGCTTTTAACCAAGCTGGTGTATGTCTTAGTATGTTCGATCTTAACTTCGACAAATATCCGCACTAATCGCAACAAAAACTTGTTCTTCCGACGGATTTGTAACTACTACGACTTCAATTTCCCTGATTTGTTTTAGTTTTCAATTCACTATCCTGTTCCGTCAATATATATGAAATGTTTATGATACGTAGCCATGATATTGGATTATGTACTGCAAATACAGGAGGAAAAAAGTGACATTTTAATGATTTGTCCATCGCTTACAAGAGAATATAGAAATGAATAGACTAATTAACTAGTTATGTAAATTAATAAGTTTTTTATTTTAATAATGACGTACAGGTTACAGAATAAATGGCACAAAATAGCTATAATATATTTAAGTTATTTATACAAGTATAGAATTTATTTAGATAAAGAAACGTTAATTTTTTATTAGCTACTGTTGTAACCATCAGGTCAGTAGGAAATCACAAGCTGTGCAAATTTCATCACATAAGTCAAAACAGAAAATTTATTGTGCCACAGAAAGAAACATTTCTATATGTCCAAAATCTATCCATTCGTAAGATTACTCGTAAGATTATGTTTCCCGAGAATAACACATTGACCAATTTCCAATCTCCTCTTGACATGTTTCTTGAAAGCTTGCGGTGATTTACAAAAGAAATTGCAATGTTCACAGTAGTACTTCGCTTTCTGCCCACATTCACGTTGCCGATGATACCACAATCCTTGTCTACCTCTATATAGCTTACCACACACGGAACACTGATGATGGCATGTCTTGCTGTTCGATTTCACACGTAGAAGTGACTTGATGTCTACTATACGAAAATCTAGACTTGACGATGGTTGTTCCGGCTTATTAGTGACATGAATGCATCGTGCAGATCGTTTTGACGTGCTAGGTTCTGAAACAAGATAAAAGAAGATCAGTATTTTGAAATCAAATATTGATTTATTATTTGGACGTAAATACATAACTTTATATGTCCTCATAACTTAGTATAACACGAGAAAATATATATGTAACGTGCGTTTTTAGTTTGTAAGTGCAAAAAGAAACTTATCTTGCTTTATTATTATATACATTAAATTAAAAATAGATTTTTGCTTATGCATATTCATTAATCATTAAATTAGTTCATATTTTTGTTATTTTAGTTGTAGATGTTATACTCTCCTTTCTACGTAATGACTGAAAAAGACAGTTGATAATTAATGTAATCAAATAAGAAAACAATATTTGATGATAATTAAAATACATATTTTATACTTTTTCTATTTATTAAATGTTATTTGTAAAATACATTAATATAAATTAAAAAAAAAACAATACTAAACATAAAACACCGTTGGAAGGCGTAAAATAAGGAAATCTTTAATAAAAAAATCCTATAGTATAAGGGTTTATTCTAGGAGAAGTAATGGAAAAAAATCCTTTTATATACAATTGCACTGACTGAACACGAAACAACACCTTCGATGAACTTTTGTAAAAATAAAAAAGCAAACGAAAAGTTTCGGTAATGTAGTACAACAAGAAAGCTATGCTCTATACCATTCGATTGAGACCTACTTCTCTCAAAATAAACCCTCATAATGTAATACACCTCAGCACAGTCCGAAAGGATAAGAAACAACGTAAGCCATAAATACGTGATTCAATTGTTAATGTTTTAAACTGTTCTTCTATCGTAAAAGGCTTTACGCTTTGTAGGTGAAAATGAAATCTTGTGTTTAGTCTTAACATGGCTGTCCATCGAAGACTTTTGCTTGCATCGATAATCACAATATTGACAGAAAAAACTTGGCTCTTTTCCACACTCATAGGTAGTATGTCGTTTGAGGTTATGTACGTACTTGTACGTACGACCGCAGGTATGACACTCGAACCTGCTTTCCGTATTACGCGATGAATTTCTCGGTAGGATTCGACGTGGGCGAGACAACGACGCAATGCTGACGATGCGCAATCCAGAACCGTCTTCTGATTTGATTTCTAGAAACAGAAGATAGTACGATAATTAGAATATTTTAAGGGTAGACGTGAAGAGTGTGTACAGAATAAAGAGGATTGGAAAATATGAATAAATTTGAACAAAGAAATTCCTTTTTTACCAAATTATGTATTTTATAAATGTTCTACGGAGTTTGTAAAAAATATTTTAATTTAAAATTACCATATTTGTAGTATTCATTTAACATGAATATTAAAACTATAAACATAATTACAAACAATTTAATGGTATATGATCAAGTAAATTTTATTATAAATTTCCTCTATTAAACTTTCAAACAAACTTTTTCAATTAGAAAGTTGTAATAAAATACAAATAATTCAATATACAAAATTATATAAGTCGAAATAAATTAAAACACCTAAATATGAAGGGTTAAATTTGTCTATAAATAAACGATAATTAATTAGTAAATCACAAAGTGACGATTGAATTTTGTAGGCATTAATTATAATTATTATAGTTACAAATTATAAATATTTTTAGCTTATTTGTTAGGCACTGTGTATTTGCAATAGTATCTATAATTTGAAAATATTATCATTCTTCAAAAGGTATCTCTTGAAATTGGCTCTGTCATTACGTGTATAATTGCAATAACTGCAGTTTGATACCTACACCAATTGGCATGTCTGTAAAAGTTGCCAGATACATTACACTTGAAGAACTTCTGTCCTGCGGAATGATTTTTTTTACAATGTTCTTTTTCAATACAACTTTTCACAAGTATAGCGTAAGTATTTTAATAGGTAATAAATAATAAGTATGTGATGAGAAAGAGATTAATTGCTATACATCCACATCGAGATAAATTAAATTGATTAAGCCAAGGAAATTATTCTAAAATCAATGATTTCTTTTTCAAACATATATAATTCTCGACTTTATGTTTATATTTTATTGTATCAAATTTGAACATTACAGTTCGATACGTATGTCAAAAATATCTGAAAAAAAATGTTAATTTAACTGTCAGAGTGTTTCAAACTAACGTGTCGTTTCAAAGTACTACTATATCTACAAATGTAAATACATTTTTTGCAAGAGAATATAGGTAGCTTATTCCCACACTCGTATTTGACATGTTGCTCTAAATTATATTGCGTAGCGTAATGTTTTTCGCAAGCTTGACACTTGTACTTGTAAATTTTTTCCACATTCAATCTTGGACATACTTCATTAAAACCATTACAATCAGAACACAAATACTGTGGCTCTTTGTCATATTCGTATCTCTGGCGTTTCTCAAAATCTTCGTTTAATGAGTAAACTTTATGACATTTAATACACGGGTAAGTTTTTGAAGATTTTTGGATGTTTGTAAGTAGTTTAGATGTTTCTAACAAAGAGTTAACATCGATGATATGGAATCGAGGATCCAAAGATGATAATGAATTTTTTCGTAGTTCTTCTGTACCTGTTGACAAAAAAGTTCAGTATTATTATCGTTTGTAATATGTTATGATACATTGAGACAGAAAACATAATTTTTGCATACGGACTAATACGCAATATTAAGGGATGGAATCCACTCCGAAATTTCACCCCCAGAAACAGTTTTTTTCAAATATTTTAGAAACAAATAAAGCTAGCTTGATGAAATCGACGCTAAAAATTGTAGAATAAAAAAGGCTATAAAACAGTATTAATTTCAATTGTAAGGGTAGAAATACCTATTTTTTTTAAAAGAAAACTAGGTTTTTTTCACCAATTATTGGCTCTCAAAATTACAATAAATTGTATATCGCCTTAAAACTGAGTCTATGTAAAAGAAAATAAAGAAATAAAGTTGATCTGTTTTTAGCCTAAATTTGGTTTTAGCCTAAATCATTTTTGGTAGGAATTTTAGTAAAGTTTTGATCGATAACACGGACAAACGATATATCATTTCAGTAGTTTTAGACAATATGGAATATATATTTTACATTAATTTTTAAAAATTCGTATGTTTGAACAATTTGTTTAAACAAATTATTGTAATGTTTTTTGAAAAATAATTTTTTCGAGTCAAATTCAACAAGAAATATGAAATATTTATTTGTGATATGTTGTGTGGACCAATAAGTGAAAAAATGAATACTTTTACTTGCTTTTACTTTTGAGAAAACATTTTTAAGAGATGAATGACACCTCCGAAAGTTCATCACTCTTCTAAAATATTTTATATTATTATATTATCACTTATTTATATTATGACTAACTATTATTTTATATTATCACTAACTTACCTATAAGCAACATTTTATCTAAAAGATACTGCACTTACTGATGGTAATAAAATGTTATATACAGGTTTTGGTTTGTTTTGCAACTTTTTATTTTTAGAATAACAAGTGTTTCTTTATTATTAACATTTTTCTTAATTGCAAACATATCAACTTATTGTAAGATTAATTGTTTTAAGAAAACAATATAATTTTAACTAACGAGTTGTAAAAAAAATGCAAAATAAAATAATAACTAATATAAAATATATATTGTATATAATAAGTAACTCAATAATGTTTAAACATGATTTTCGTTCGTTCTATCGTTCAGGAAAACGTGGCAAATAAAAAAATTAAGTGTTACGGTTACGAGGACTTTCTAGAATTCTCAATTTAGATTTTAGGACTTAGGACAAATAAAATGAATCAAGAAGTTCAAAATGAAAAAAATGTTCATGGTAATAAATTTATTAAAACAACTTTTACATGATAGTAAAATTGTCACTATTTAACACTAGCTACTCCCCTTAAGAACACAGGTTAAGATGAAGGATGAGTCAAATGTTATGAATGAATAGTCATTGCAAAATTCGTTAGTATGAATGCGATGTTCATAAATTGTATATCTAGTTCACAAGGTGATGAAGATCCTTTAAAATCTGTAAGAAATATGTAGCTGTTAATATTTGGCTTTAATCAAGCTATGTTTATTTGTTTAAATATTTATCATAATTTAATTCTGAAAATTAGTTTAAGTAGTTATTAATAACAATATAATAATTGTACGTCGATGTGTTTAAAAAAATTAAAAAACTTACATAGTGCTATATTAATATTCGTGTATCAGGTATAGACGTGTGGATTGATTTATTAAGAAGTATCACCGTAAAATTAATGATACAGGTAGATTGTATCAACAATACAAACTCAAGATAACGCGGTATAAATTATAGAATGTTTCGACTTGATATGCCTAACAAGACTAGCCTTCTGATTGGTTATATACGAACAGTGGTAACAATAAAAGCGTCCAGACACACCGCACTCGTAATTAATATGACGGGTTAGATGTTTCTTCGATGTATAACTTGTGCCACAGATTATGCACTTGTGCTTTTTCGATTTCACAAATCTGTTTTTAGGGCATACACCGGTACGAGATCGTGATCGAATGTGTCTGTTAAAGTTCGATCTCTTTTTGCAAGAATAATCGCAATACTTGCAGAAGAAACTTGGCTGCACGTTGCACACATGTTTGTGATCACGAAGACCTTGTTTGCTTACGTAGACTTTGTTACATTGCGAGCATCTGTACTCGATTGGGAGTTTCGATGGGTTACTATTGTTTTTGTAAGGGTTTTGAAGCGAAAATACGTCTACTATGCGTATTTTTAATTCATTCACTAACCCTAATGGATTTTCTTCATATTCTTTCTTGATATCTGTGAAAAGAAGTTTAAAAAATTTTAATAACAAGCTTGAAGATATTCATTTAGGTTAGTCATTAATTACGAAAGTACTGTCACAGTTGTATTGCTAACCTAAGATTCATTGTTATACATAGTTGTAAAAAATGTTCTACGAAGAAAGTACAAAAACTATATTACTTTTGACTCAACACGACAAATTTTCGAAGCTTTCATACAAGTGTAGGACGTGAAAGTTTTTATTTAGAAATAAATTATAAAATTGACTTAAATCGATATTCTGGTGGCTTCACAATCGCACTCTCAAACAGCGATATTGGTTATGCCATTGAGCTTGAGTTAATTTTCTCGTCCTGCACTTGAATTAAATTTGCGAAATTACATCTACCGAAGAATAATTTATCCACATAAATAACGTATATGTTAAACTTGCAGTCTGAAAGTAAAACAAATTTCGTATGATGAATGTTTAAAATGAAGTTTTAGGGTCAAAGATTTTACATATATGAAATAAAAACACTGATGTTGTCAAATAATTATTTATCGCTATTATTACAAAACAAATATTTATTTCAAAATAACACGTCAACATTTTTTACAAATTAAGTAATTTATACATGGTCAACGGTTAATTTAATCAAGCGTTTACCATTTTTACAATTTCTTAACGTGCTTAATGCTATTATGTCTAATGAGATTGGTTTTTCGTTTACACGAGAAATCACAGTGATCACAAAAGAAACTCGGATCTTTGCCACATTCGTTGGAATGGCGTTTTAAATTGTCTTTTCGCGTATAACCTTTACCGCAATCGGTACACTTATACTTTTTCGGCGTTTTGGTCGATTCGATTTTGACATTAGACAGTGTTGACTGTGTGTGAGCGAAGAATAGAGTAAATGGTGGCGGTTGGAATAGCGATGGTTTGTAGTCAGCTGTTGATAAGAGGTCGACAAACACTGAAACAAAAAGCAAATTTAATCGCAGTTTTTTCAATTGTTTCTCATTTCGTTGCTTTAGTAAATCATTCAATATGGAATGAATCTTTTTGCTTAGCGAATAAAAATAAAATAAGTTTTCAGCAACTTGGTCATTAAAAAATGGTCAGATCATAATTAATTACTATGTGTTTGTATTGACTTTTTATTGTCATTGATGTAACACGAATCAGCACAATCTTTACAAAACAAAGTGCGATAATAACCACAAATTACTAGTGTACTCGATGAACAAACTAGTTTCAACTTCCTGTAATATTTTCTATTATAAAAGACGCATTTTTCCTTCTGTACATGTAGTTTTTTGATCAGTTTGTCAGGATCGACTTTTTGATTTAGTATCAGACGTTTCTCATAAAATTCGCACTTATATTTTGGACATGAATGATTTTTACTTTCATCTAAAATTGACGCGATGACAGGAAAAGTAACGATTCTGGTGTCGATTTGGAACAATTTCCTGAAAGTAAAAAAAATATTTATTAGATTTGCATTTTACATAATTTATTATAGGAAACCTTTAGAACTATAAAAACAAATAAAAGTTTGTATGAAGTTTTAATACGAAGTTACTATATTATTTATTGGCACAAGAGGTCCTTACACTGAATATTACCTAAACATTGATTAATACGAATATAAATAATCACGAAACACTGCACTTAAAATTTCATTGCATAGCAAATCACAAACGAACGATTCTAAGACATTTTACGAAGATTAATCCAATTCTGTCCAGGGTGAACTTTTCTAATATGTTTATAAACATTAGGTTTTTGTTTGGAACAGTAATCACAGAAGTTACAGAAGAAACTTGGCTTTTTTCCGCATTCATATTTAAAATGACGAATCAAATTTTCTCTATACTTATAGATTCGGTTACATTCATTGCACTGGAATTCGTCATTACACTTCCCATTGTTCTTAGATTCATGACGCAACTTAGTGTGTCTCTTCAGATTTTCCGCAATTTTTGATGAGTAACTACACTGGTCGCAGAAGAAATTTACACTTTTACTGCATTCGTACTTGATATGGCGATGGAGAGTCTTCTTATTTCTATGTACGCTCAAACACGACAAACATTTAAACCTATCATTTAGTATGCTTTTGATGTTCACAATGCGTAATCTCGGAACTTGGTATGGTTGCTCGTACACTTCTTCAGCTGTAATTTCTGAAATAGTCGAAATTTAAATTGAATGGATGGAGTTTGTAAACAAAAATATCGTTACGAAAGTTTCATGCTTATACATCAATACAGTGCACTGCTACGAGATGTAAACAAATTTGTGATACATCGATACCTAATGACATTAAATCTATACATCGACAAATAAAAATATTTTGAAGTAGCTTTATAAATTAATAAGGTTTAAAAAATATTAACTACTATAAGGCAAATAGCTTACAAAATCTGTTCGTTATAAAATAAAAGTGTTTAATGGATAACATTAAATAATTTTTGCATAAAGAGATAAATATTAAAATAATTGTCGGAGTTTTTCATTTGTAAAAACCTACAATACTTATGCGTTTTATTGAAAATGTAAAATTACACTTCATGTACAATTTTCTTCGTTATTTATTAAAATTTATTTATATATTTTACAAAAAAAATCAAGTATCAATGCCTTGATACTTAATTTTTCTATCACAATATAAACATACGTAGATCTACGTAGTGATCTTATTACTTTTCTAAATCTTTTATCTAGATTTTTTATCTTGTAGATGTTATAGATTTTACAGCGCTGTAATGCTGCCTTGTAACTGTGATTCTTGTCGCGATTTAAGCACTTATACTTTTTGTCTCTTTTGCCTTTCGTATTCTTTAATGTCGATACGTTCACAATGCGAAGGTTAAATTGAGGTATGGATCGATCTGATACAGCTGCAATTAAATAGAAATCATTTGTTTATTAACAGTTTAAGTGTTATGAATTAGATTAAATTTTATCAAAGACTAAGGAACAAAGCCAGAAAAAAAAATTTGATGTGTGAAATTTTAATTTCTTTGATCGCTGTTCTCGTCTGCCATAGTTTTATCTTAGTTGAAGCTGTGCTCAATTGGTGGAAGCAATGCGAAAAGAAAACTTCTAAAGTTACATTAACACTTTTGTTAACCTCTTCAGTAACTATACTGTAATTAATAGAATGAAACAAAATGAGAAAACAGTATGAAAAAAAGAAAATATTTAGAACATATCAACACAAATCAACAAAACAACTTACGAAATAGCGCGGAGATAGATCGGAGCCAACATTCTAGATTTTCTGGATAATTCTATTACAAGCTTACTATGGATTAAAGATCGAACGCAGGGTATATAAGACCGAATCATATTAATAAGACATACATTTTTTCTAACCAGAACAGTTTCAGGCTCTTATTTTGTACATTGCTTTGTTCATTTCTGTCTGTGTGTTCTAGTTGTTTTTTTTTCAAACCGTTTTTGCCATTCTATTTTTTCACAATACATTTTCTGAAAAGGTTAACAAAAGTGTTAACGAAATGTTAGAAGTTGTTTGTCTCTCCGTATTGCCTCTACCGATCGAACACAGCTTCGATCAAGGTGAAATTTTAATTTTAATCCATTATAATATTCATGATAATTCAAATGTATTGTATAATTTACACGATGCTGATTTTCGAAGATAAATTTGAAAAAATAAAAGAATACAAATCAATAAATGATAAAAAAATTTATGAAAAAGTTATTTTTAAAAGTACAAATAATTCTCTACAAAGACGGGAAAGGATTCATGATTTCGAAAATTAAATATAAAAATACAATGATTTTATATTTTAATACATGCAAGTCCTTGTAAGTTTTCATTTGAGTTTAAGTTCAACTCAGATTTTGATAAACAACTGCCATATCTGTTCAGCGAACCTTCCTGCTTGCAAGCGTAATTACACAAATAGCAGGAACAACTCGGTCCTATGCCGCACTCTATTCGTATATAGACTTGTAAATTGTTTTATCGTCTTCTAAAATTTACCGTATGTGTTGCGCGCAAAAGGTCGGATCGAAATAAAAGGCTTTAGTTCACTGAATGATACGTCCGTATCGATAAAGTTCACTATTTGATACTAAGTTCATTTTCTTGAATAATTCTGAAAAGAAAGTAAGCAAATATAATGATTAATGACAAATATCAATCAAGTGCGTATTTTGAGAATGATTTCATGACACATTAACTATGTGGTTTAAGTAATGGTATAGAGACGAGAACATTGACTTTGGTAACAGTACTGAAAGAGAATATTATTTATATTACATTATAATTTTATACAAAGTTATGAAACAGAACATAAGATGTAAATAATTATACAGACATTTTTTAAAACAATGCGTAAATATTTCTCCTGCCAGAGGTGAAGAAAATTGCAAGTTAGACGATTCTGATTTAGATGATTATGATGCAGTGTGCAAAGTGCTATATATGTATATAAAAAATTACATTTAAAAAATATTATTGTCAATAGGTTTCACTTAAATTAAGGCATTAATAAGTTTGAACGTTAGTACAAACCTGTTTACATATGCATAGTGTTATATATGTTATTATACCAAGTGTTTAATAAAGTAATAAAGAGATTATCTATTAAGCAGTATAAAATATTTTTATGTCATGACAGTATTCACGAGTTTAGTTGTATTTACTATAGGAATATATTGAAGCCTTTTTCCTTTGTCTTCATTCTTAAACAACCTATTTTTCGCAGGTTCTTACATATTTTCATCACATATAATAATCGAGTGCTGTGTCTTGACATGCCTGACAAGATTCCAACTACGTTTGCACGAATAAGTGCAATAGTTACAGAAAAAGCTCGGTTCTTTGGCACAATCGTGTGTCACGTGATAAGCTAGGCACTCTTTTTTTTTGAATACTTTATCACAAGTAGCGCACGCATAAGTTCCAGCCTGTAAAGACTGTTGTTCGTCCGACGTTGACATTGATGAATGTTTCAGTCGGATATGCTTATTCAAAGTTGATTTTCGCCTGAACAGTAAACTACACTGATCACACATGAAATTTGGCTTTCTGCTGCATTCGTAGTTTGTGTGTCGCATTAACGTGGCACGGTGAGAATATTTCTTGTGACATGTAATACATTCGTACCCTTCGCGATTTTTCGATGAAGGATGTAAAATTGAATCCACGCTGATGAGTAGCTTCGCGCTCTGCGACGCGTCTCCCCAACTCACAAAATGGCTTGCGAAAGTGTGCTCTGAAATTAAACCAAATTTAAAGTTAGTCATAAATAGTTTTATTGTAATATAAAAGTGCTTGGATTAGTGTTATAGGAAAACAAATGTATTTATTCGATATTAAGGCTACTACCTGTGAAAATGATTAAAGCTTTTTACCATAAGAAGAAATTTTGCTCTGATGTTTTATAGTCTAACATTGTTTTATTATACAGGAAATAATAATTTAAAGTATCCATAATTAAATATTTTTAAATTTTACTTTTATTAAAAATGTTTTGTATGATATAGATACATATTATGTCGATGGTTTGTAAACTTAAGATAGTAGTTTATATGTTTAAATAATGCTTAAATAACGACAACACTGAATGAAGAAACTTTTACAAACGTAAAGTTCAAAATTACAAAAAATTGAGTTTGTTTGACAAATAACGTAAAAATTTACATGAAATGAAAAGTTAGCTCAAGGCATACAAAGGAAAACTTATCCTATTTAGATCCAATTTGAAGGAACTTACAAGAAACAAAGTAAATTTTAAGCTAATTGCAACTAAATAAATTAACGAATTTCAAGTTCGTAAACATTGCGAATGTTATGTTTGAGCGTAACGTGCTTGTGATAATGCGATCTAGATTTGCTAGAAAAGTCACATTGCTGGCAGTAATATCTCGCCTTGTTTTCTCGATCAGCATTAACACCACTAGACATCAGGCACTGACTTTCAGATTTCTTCATCAACATTTTGATTTTTTTTCGCTTAACTTTCATCTTCTTAACAGGCGTGAGATTCTCATTCTTCAGAGTTTCCGTGATACTGTTTTCCAAGCTCAAATCGGGTTTCGATAGGTAATCGGTGCGGCTCAACGACGAAATGAACAATTTCTCGCACGTGTGATGTTGAAAATCTTCTGTTTTCGCGAATTTTTTACCACATGTGACACAATTATGTGCTTCATCCACAGGCTTGACTTTTTCCGTTGATACCAAAATTTCCTGATTAGTTTGATTCCTAGAATTATCTATAGGAAAATGTTGTTCTACCGCCATTTCTTGACCACGACCAGAACCCTCTTCGCACATAGTCTTGTGAATCTCCAAATCCATATCACTCGCAAGCCGCTGATCGCAAGTAGGACACTTATAGAGTTCTGTTAGATTACCAATGATACTCTTGTCACAACTATTATCAACAACGTCATTCTCGTGAGTGTCCATGTGTTCTTCCAAATCGGATTTGAGTTTTGCGGTAAAATCACACTGAGGACAACTAAAACTCGCATGCGTCTGTTGACCGCAGACATTCTTCACATGATACAAGTAGCCTTTTTTTGTTTTGAACACTTTATCACAAGCCTTGCAAATAAGATCTATCACCGGCTTCTTTGCATCAATTGGCCCGCTCATATTGTGAGCAGTCTTCATGTGCTCGTTCAACTCTGATTCACTCTGCTTGGAATTGAAATCGCACAGCGCACAGGAATAAGCTAACTCCTTACATTTGACGTTCTTCAAATGATAATTCATTCCTTTTCTAGTTGTAAATATCTTCAGACATTTGGCACACTTATGCACCGCTTTCTGATCCTGTTGATTGCTTCTTGAAGTGTCGTTTAAGAACAGAGCTATATTATGTCGAACTTGGGCATGTTGTGTCAAGTGACCCCTTCGTTTGCACGAGTAATTGCATTCTGTACAAAAGAATTGTGGACCTTTGCCACATTCAAATTTCGTGTGGCGAAGGTATGATTCACGACGAAGATAATTATTGCCACACTTTGCACAATTGAACAAGCGATCCTTTTTCGTGAATTTAATCTTCTCTTTGAGATCTTTGCCAAAAGCGTGTCGAGTTTGCAGATGATGGATCATATGAGATTTGCGTACGGTGCCGTAGCCACAGTGGTTACAAAAGAATCGCAATTTTCCGGTACACTCGAATTTCATGTGACGGAGTAAAGTGTCTCGGCGAATATACTTTCTAAGACATACGGGGCACTGGTTTTGAGGAATTTTGCTGCACTCATATACTATGTGACGTGTCAATGTACCTTTAACTTTGTACGATTTCTTGCAGGTATCGCATGTGTATTTCTTGTCTTGTTTTACTTGTCCCAATATGAAGTGAGTTTCAGCCATACTGACCACTAGAACAGCAAACAAATATTTCTCAAATTAGTTTTAATTTATTGGGGGATCGGTATAAAGGAAAGTGAAGCTTGCATCAAGATGCGTAAGAAAAATTTGAGCTCAACGACGAGCAAGAGAGCTTGAAAAGAAAACATTAAGGAGGATCTATCGAGAGAACAATTCAAAATAATTTTACAGCAAAATAATATATTTATGATAAAGTTGTTATTTTACACAACATATTGACAAAATAAACTTTCATCTGTAGATTTTTATTCTTCATTTTTATAAAATCATAGATTTTTATAACATGTGAACATTTTGAAGTTCCAATTTTTTCAGCTCTTGCATTGTCAATCTAATAATACAAAACGAATAAGAATACTAAAGCGATCTTGAATATCGGTAACTTGAACGATCTTAATGGAATATAAAATTTATCAACACAGCGTTACACTTGCGAATACAAATTAAACATTTTACAAGCGTAAATACATTTAATCATCTATCGCATGAATGTTGATAAAAAATAATATCAATATTTGCTATAATTGTACAAACGAAAAATACTTTTTGTTATTTTATAAAAAAAATATTGAAAACGCACAGTTTCATCGCCGGAATATAATTAATTTTGACTGTTTTTTTCATACACATTTCGAATTCTATGTTTCACCATGACGTGGTTGTGAAGTAAAAATTGTGTCTTGCATGTAAATGCGCATTCTTTACAAAATAATTTCGAAATATGCCCTTCTTGCTTTTCCTTTTTCTCTTGCACTTTTTTCATGTTTATTTTGATACATCTTACACGTTTCAAATGTTTAGGTTTTTCTTTAGGTATTACTTTAGTTTCGATACTTGCATCCTTTAGATTATTTTGTTGCTCTGAGATCACCTCATCGTGATTGGAATGTTCCAATGGAATATAATCATGTTTTTTCCAAATAGTTTGGGCATCAAGATTATGCTTATTTTGTACATGATTTTCCAAATCTTCTTGGACTTTACAAAAATACGTGCAGTGTTTACAAAAGATATTAGGTACTTTTTCACATATGAATTTAACGTGATATTTATAGCGGTCTAAGTTCTCACATGTTTTCAGACATTTTTGACACTGGTAAAACTCATCGACTTGTGACTCGAGAGAACGATCACGAGAGAAAGTCAGATTTTCTGTGCAATTTTGTCTCAGGTGCAAATTAAAATGTTCCATGGATGTAAAGGCCTTTCCACATTTTTGACATTCGGCTATTGTCGCCGACTCCTCTGATTTTATTTCAGTTATCATATCTGCCGACTTGTCAGATATGATTATATTATCTTCATTCGATGTTTTGTCAAAGATATGACTTTGCTGTTCAGAAGAATGAATTATGCTCTGATTACATGTGTGTAAATGAATTTTCAAGCCTTTTTGCGTCAAGAAAGTCTTACTGCAATTAATGCACTTATGCAATTGAACTGTTTCTTTAGGAGTGTGTATTAAACCGAATGTGGTACTATGATGTATCTCCAAATGTTTAGTAAACTCCAACTGTAACGTTGTAGAGTATTCACATGCTTGACAAGCAAAAATCACATCTTTACTGCAAGAAGTCTTCATATGATACAAAAAACTTTTTTTGGTTGAGAACATTTTATTGCAGATTTCACATTGGTGCAAGTTTGTTTTTTCTGCTTGTTCAATTTCATGCATCATAAGGTGATTGTCCAAGTCATATTTATTTTTAACAGGAAAGTTACAAAAAATACATTGATAATTCAATTTCTTCAATTCGCAGTTTCTGGATTTTCGGTGATATTCCAAACCTCTTCGCGTAGTAAAAATTTTATCGCAATTACTGCAATTGATAAACTGTTTAGCTGAATGACGATTTTTCACATGCAAGGTTAAATGGTATTGTCGTTTGAACGATGCATTACACTGTTTACAGGAGAATTTTCTATTTGTACCACATTCATAAAATAAATGACGTCGTAAAGTATCCATTCGTGTGTAAGTTTTTTGACAATTATCACACTTGAAAATGCCATCTGAAATGCTATAGTCAGGTTTATCTATGGCCTTTACGACTTTCAAATGTCGAGTTATCATGTGAGTATTCAAGTGGGTCTTTCGCCTTGCCCTATAACCACAATGGTCACAAATGAATTTTCGAACATTATTAGTACATTCATACTTTTCATGACGCTGTAATGTGTCGAGTCTGTTGTATTTTCTCCAACATCCTTTGCAGCTGAACGGTTCTTTTTGGCTACATTCATTCTTTATGTGTTGTCTTAAATATGGTTTGCATTCGAATACTTGGTCGCAAAAATCACAATTGTATGACGAATAGGAAACACGGTCTATTAATTTGCGATAAATTTTCTTTTCCGATGGAACTGTGACGATTTTGCGTCGTTTTCTTACTTTCTTTACTGGCGATGACATCGATATGAAATGATTGCCGTAGAGTTCAATTTCTGTAAAAAGTAAAAATAAATATTTTAAATTACAAAAAATTTTTGGGTATTGATTATAAATTTTCAAATAACTATGGAAAACATGAAAGAAAAATGAAGCGGAAAGAAGATTATATGTTAATGGTAAAAGTCAAGAATGAATTAACACTGTTAGTTACGGTAATGCATGTATAATGGCATGTTGGTAGTAAATTAAAAATATTTATTTATTTATTTTATTACGAGTATGTATTTTTCCTCGAAAATTTTATTTAATTATTCATACATTGTGTAACATACGTTTATCATTTTTATCTTGGAAGGAATTGTAATTTACAAACACAACATTTTTCTTTTGATCTTCACATAATCGAAACTTAATCTTTGATAGTTTTAAAGATTGAAATTCCAAAAAGTTAAATCATAATTTTTTAGTTTAATTAATTTTTTTATTTTTCTTCATAGATGTATCTGCAAAAAAATGAAAAACTATTAGTAACAATACGGCAGTCAAAGCGACTGGGTAATTAATCATAGAAATGGTCTAACATTTAGATGAGTTTTTAAAATAAATATATTTATGTTTAATAAAATAGTTTATACAAAACTAAATTTTATTTTTAATTATCATTGAATAATATATGATTATAAATTTTGATATATACGCACCTGAAAGTAATATTTTATATCTTTTGTAACTTTGTAGAAAAGGATCAACTTATTTACTAAATGTACATTTTAAAAAAATTGTCTGTGAAGACAACTAGATTCAATTTCGATAATCTTTTTTATACACATTACGTATTTTATGCTGCAGCGCAACATGGTCGTGTAAAACTAATACTGAATTGAACAAAAAATGACAGAAGTTGTGATGAGATAGAGACAAGTTATTTATCGTAGCGTTACTTTTTTAGGATCCTGTTTTCTTCACCATTGTAACAATTTTAGCGCAGCTAATCCGTTTTTTCTTTATCGTTTACGTTCCCAAAAAAGTCTGATTTTTTACGGATGTTAAGTTTTCATTCAATTTTGGCGTAATTTTGTGCACGAGAACGACCCGATTAATGCTTAATTTCTTCTAAATGTTGAATGTAGACATTAGTATCAATTTGATTTAATGGTTTTTTTAATCAATAGGTGATTAATTCTTTTCCACATGCTTCCTTCACATAATACTTTTTTCACATAGAAACTTTTCAGGTTTCACTTCGTTAATAGGAGCTTGACAATTCGATTGATAAATTAGATTCTTAATAATCTGATTGTTACAAATGTGTTCTGGTCTTTCATTAATGTTTCAAGTTTCTTTTCCTTAAGACTTTTCGAAAAAGGTTTCGCAATACCACTATCCAAACTTGCTTTATGCTTTTAAAAATTATTACGTAAATCACCGGAGTTTTCCTTCTTAGTAACACAAACATTTTTCGTTTGATGCATATAGTCTTTTTCGATACTCTGTGCGTAAAGTCCGTCTTTCTTGCACGCTCGGCAGAAAACGTGCTTGAAAATCACACTTTCCACATGTTGTATAAAAAATACGGTACGGCACATGTTCGGGAAATAGTTTCTCGTCTCGTATACCTTTTCACACTCGCTTCGCCCGGGCGTAAACGCCACACGAGACAAGAATCTACTTTCCCGCACTTGTATCGTAATATACTATTTCACACTACAGCCGAGTACGCGGAGACGAACGAAACTGTTTTTTCTATTGTAGACTTTATTGTATTTTTCGCAGGTGACTGTTGAATGCATATCGACTATTCTACTTCTGCTACCTTTTGGTGGACATGCAAATATTCATTGGCGTTTTTCTGGTAGCGATGGTAGCTTCAGCATCAAGTGTGTATCAAAGGATATTTGTCCTAAAAAAGAAATAAAAGTATTGTTAGTTTAAATGATTTATTGATTTAGCAGTCAACCAAATTAGAGCATTGAAAAGAAAATCATTACCAGAAATAGGGACTATACAATGATAATGCAAAGTATACATTAAAAACAAAATACTGCGTATTATAAAAGCAAATTTTATTTAATTGAATCTGGTTAACGTTACAAAATTTAAAAAAAATACAATTTAATCATTACAGAAACTTTCTAAAAAATAAAAAAAACAGTATATAAAATATCAGCGAATGATATAGTACATTACGATACAAGTGCGGGAAAGTAGATTCTTGTCCCGTGTGGCGTTTACACCCGAGCGAAGCGAGGGTGGAAAGATACACGAGACGAGAAACTCTTTCCCGAACATGTGCCGTACCGTATTTTTCTATACGACGTGTGGAAAGTGCGATTTTCAACGCACGTTTTTTGCCGAGCGTGCGGGAAAAACGCACTTTCCGCACGGAGTGTCGAAAATTCTATTATTTTACATTAGATACATGGTGAAATTTTACGTATGCTTTCATGTTCAGTTTTTTTGTAGAATAATTACACAGATTACAAAAAAAATAGCCACCGTAACATGTACGTTGTTCACATGATACATTTCATAATTTTTTAAGACGTAAGTTTTCTTAAGTTTTTTTGTATATGTATACATTTTTTTCTGTCGATGCCGAGCTTTGAGATCTTAATAAAGATACATTTTTCGCTTGCATTGATAGTTGTATTGATTGCAAGAAATACTCGGTGGCTTTCTACACTCATGCTTGACATTCCAAATTCAAACATTTCTATTTGCATACGTTTTGAAACATTTGAAATATTTATATCTACCTATTGAAATCTCAAAGTCCTTGTCGATTTTCATCGGGTCTGAAGATTGTGTTTATTGTTAAAATGACTTAGTAAATATGATTTTCATTTTGCCGAATAATTACAATCATCGCATTAAAATGTACCTTCAAATCGTATTCAAATTTGATACAATGAACTAGCGTGTCTTGTCTTGTGTATTTTCTTTTGCATTTCATACACTTTTGTGCTCTAATCTGTCCGTAATAATATTTTTTATGACGGAATAAAGTTTGTCTACTTTTGTAAGTTTTCTTATAAATATTACATTGTGCAGAATAAGACCGAGAGCTTCTACTTTTAACGTTTACATGTGGCATTTGACTAATTTTACGTCCCTTTTTATTTGAAGACGATTTAAAATTTAATCTACTGATGTTTTAAGAATACTTGGAAGTTTACGAATAATATCTAAAGTAACCATTAGTAGATATTTATAAAAGACAAAACATTTCTGATTAGTTACATAAACAAGAATATATAATTAACACTAATTATATTCGAAAGTAATATATTAATTTTAATATAAGTCTATAAAAATTAAAATATTTTTATGGTACATTATTAAAAATATTTTTCTAAATGAGACCTGAAAAATAAAAAGATATATATTAAGAAGGTTGAGGAGTTACGTGAAAACGCATAGATCGTGAAAAAACTGAAAATTATAATAGATTTGAATTTTTTCAATATTTATTACCATCGAAAATGGATTGAAAAGTTTGTCTCTTATATATGGGCTCTTATGAGAGACATGGTATTGAAAACGATTCACTTAGAGTGTAAACGCAAAAAATGTACGAAATATTAAAAAACTTAATACATGTAAAATAAATATTGCGAAACCTAATTCCAAAGTTTGAACTAAGGTCAATACTGAAAAACGTAAGCAAAATGTGAACAAAAACTTGAATTTATAGGTCATATGAGGTAGTGCGTAATAAGAGGGGCGTTGCCCCGCACCGCTCCCGCAGCTAACCGTATTGAACCTTTTTAAAAAAATTGGTTTAAAAAAATTAATTTTGAATGCAAAATAAAAAATGCTGTATTGATATTTAAACTATTAATGAATAAATATTTAAATTATTTGTAAATTATTAATATTTAAATTATAAATAAATGAATAATGGATTCATTGGATAGTAAATTTAAATCTAAATTCTTGTTGAAATAATGAATTATTTACATACAAAATAGTCATAATCATGTTATGCCGTAATCATGAATAAGATGTCAATAATATATAAAATTTGTTCATTGGGCCCCTAAAATATATTTATCATTTTTAACAACATGAAATTATTTTTATTTGATATCATAACAGTACATTTCGATACTAATACGAGATTGTGATTTCACGTTTGCGTGTACGTTTTCACCCGACCGAAGGTGAAAACCCACACGAGGGTCAAATCATTTTCTTGCACACGTGTGTATCTAACTTGAGGTTTAAATACGACGTGTGAAACGAGATTGGAAGCACACAAATTTTCCAGAGCGCCCGTAAATCGAGTTTTGGCGCACGAAGTATCATAGAAATTTTCGCTAAGAAAGAATACTGTACCACCTTTACTAGCTGCCATTTAACCTCAAAATAGAAAAAAAAACATGAAGTTCCATGGAAATTCGATGTTGAGAAGTTCGCAAATAAAATCACGTTTCAACCATAATCTTGTATAACTAACTAAATATTTACACCACTGCACAAACATATTCCTAACTTAATGAAATCCTATAGGAAACAGAAAAGGTAAATCAGTAACTTGTCCACGTGCAAGCTACACTGACTGAAACAGCTGAAAATAGAAGCAGTTGACGGTGTGAAAGTATAGAGCAGAGAGACTATATACAAAGTAATATAGTAGGGTTTTTATTGGCAGGAATTTTATACAATGTATACCGTAGCATTAGAACAGTCTGTAAGCGAACTACATTAAAAAAGTTACATATATATGTATGTGTGTGTGGGGGGGGGGGTGTAAAAGCATCAAAAAACCCTTTTTCTTGTATTTTCTTAGTCTTATATGTGAAATACTTTTTTTCCTTCTTTTCTACAAAATATAAACGGCATGGTATCTTTGTCACTACAAATGTAATACTAAGCGGAGTCTTTTTTTGATATCCCAAGGTCAATCTTAAAGCCCTATTTTATACTTTTACAATTTATCTAAATTTGTATCCGCGCTAGACAAAGTGAGAAATCCAAAGTATTATAACCTAGATCTTACTAAAGACTGGTAGAGAAGAATCAAAATATTAAAATCTGCACCTCGTCAAGTTCTTCTCAGACAGCTGATGATCCCAGACGAAAACTGTCTTTATATTATTTTTAAATTGAAAGGTATTTCAATAGGAGAATAATAACTACTTCATGAATCTTTAAGCATAGAACAAATTACTATAAGTGTTAAATAAATACAAAGGTTAACTTGTGAAAGAATTTTTTTTTTTAATTGCAATATGAGAAGGTTTTTCAGTAGATAAAAATATCTAAACCGATATTGTCAGTTATAATATTCCCATGAGCACTATAGTCGTTACTACACCAGTAGGGGTGGTACTACAAATTATCGCGGAAATGATCATCTTATTTTAAATATAGGAATGTAGTTAATATTATGAAAAACTTAAAATTGTATTAATAACTATTGAGAAAAATAAGAAGAAATTTATTTTTAGGTTTAATCTTTTGATGTGACATAATTATTAATTACTTTATGCTATTGATGACAGTTAATGTTCTCATGAAGACTCAAACTACCTTTACATTCAAACGTTTTTCTATAACTTTTGCACTATATTATTTAGGGGCTAAATATGTGCCTTTCGATGTGATCTTCATGTTTAAATTAGCGTATGCAATAATTTGAAACAAAGTTCGGAATTTTAAAATTCGGAGCATATTCTTTTTTAATTTACTTCGCCCGTGTAATTTTTACCACAAATATTACAATTGAGAAGAATTTTCTCAAGTTTTTTTTTTTCTTATTCTTAGATTGTTGGTTTTCTAGACTATAGCGAAGTTCGATACGAGTAGTGAGATTCCCTTTACTTGTGATAGAGTAATTTCAGCACTTGCAGAAGAGGCTTCAATCGATGTCACAATAATAATTTAAATGATGCCAATGGCTGTGTTTCCTATTATGTGTTCATTGGAATTTAGTGTTTTTGAGTTATCTTTTACTATTGTTTTGATTTGACAGCGTTTCCAAAAAAATTATTTTCCCATAAGACTGTAGCTGATAAATTGATGAAAACTTGAATTCTTATGTAATTGTTATCTCTGCAAACAGAAAAGAAATAAGTCAATTTTAACGAAGTAGAAGAAATTAATTCCGTGACATCATCAAGACTTCGCTTTCGAAATTGCGTTTAACATGAATTTATTATTTTGCTTCTTTCATATGCCATAAGCGATTTGTGAATTAAACAAATGTTATTAATAAAAACGCAGAATGATTGATATTTGCAACATGAAAAAGAAATAAAATAATTTATGAATCGGTATATAAAAGATGAAGATATTATTGCATATTTTGCCAATAATTATTTAAAAAAATTAATTTATTGTAGTTTATTCATTACAAAAAACGATTCTTATGAAAATGTTCATAGTACATGTTCATTTAGAGCAAATGCTAAAATAGCAAAAAAATATTAATTGTTGTGTAAATAATGAAAAATATTACATAAACAATTAACGTATGTAAAAATGTTTATAATACCATGATTTTTATAATACGTACACCATCGGTTCTATCCAGCAGAAAACTCAGTCAATAAAATACATTAGATTCTCTCCTCGATGTTAGAACAACCTATCTTCATGTGTCGTTTAAAACTGCTTTTGTATTTATATATTTTGCCGCATTGAAGACACTTGAATTCGTTTGTTGCATGTTTAAATTTTATATGCTCTTTCAAATGTCCCTTCTGTTTACATGAGTACTTGCAATATTCACAGGAAAAACTTGGCTTCATACCACACTCATATTTAGTGTGGCGATAGAGACTCGTTTTTTGTAAATAACTTTTACCGCACTTGAAGCATTTGAATTTTTCAACTTCTTCGGTGTCTTCGCTTATTGAAATCTCTTGATTGGGGTGTATCGTACTAATGTGTAAGTCTAATGCTGATTTCCTTTCGAAAGTGCAATTGCAGTATCCGCATAAAAATGCGTGTTTCCCAGCACACTCGTAATCCAAATGCCAATTCAAATCAGCCTCCGTCGCATGATTCTTATGGCATGTAACGCTGCTGAATTTATTGTCTTTAGCATCCAGAATAGAGGATACGGATACTATGCGGAATGACGAACTGGATTGTCTTTTTAATTCCAGGTCTGAAAAATAAAATTTTAGTGTGAGTTGTAGGAATTACTAAAATGAATAAAATGAATAATGATTTAAATTGTTGGGATTTATTGATAAGCGAGCATTAGTAATAGAAATAACGAGTATATTGAAGAATTACATACATTATTATTTGGTAACAGAATAGTAGATTTTAATAGACATACAAATTGTTCAGTACATGAAAATAAATAGATATATTATTATTTTATAGTTGATTTTAACAAATATATATATATATATTTTTTAGAGCGGAATAGTGAAACAAGCAAGTGAATAGATAAACAAATAGTCAAACCGTATTGCATATAAAATTAGACGCATATTTTATTGCTTCACAGATCTTGACAAAGACATTTTTTATAAATATCCAAAGTTTAAACAAAAAAAGGATCTTTTCTTCCACGTTGGTTTGACTAAAAAATTAAATATTAATTTATGATTACATATTTATCGGGAATGATACACTGACAAAGTCAAATAATAAGGCCAATTCTTTATATATTTACAACCTCTGCCATAGTTCTCACACTTATGCCCATACATCAAATCATCCATTTCATGAATTTCTGTATTTTGTGCGGATTAGAATTTGTGATGTATATTAAAATATACGTATATTAAAATTGTTATATATCAGATAATGAATATTATTAACCAATATTTTTGTTTGTTATTTTAACATCCTTTACGTGATTTGATGAGAGTTGTGGATACTTAAAGGTGTGATGACAGTAGTGACAGATGAAACTTGGTTTTATCTCACACTCGAACTAAAGATGACGTTGCATATTTTTTGTATAAAAATCATTTATTACACGTTTGATATTTGCAACGCCTTTCTTTTTTAGGTTTTTGTTGTACGAGCCCTAGTTATTGTTGTGTAGCACCACAATGTGTCTGTTGAAATTAGTTTTACATTTGCTGGAATAATTACATTGATTACACATTAAATTGTGTTTTTTTCATTGTATTACCAAGATTATATAAGTAAGTGTATAACAACATACGTGGAACTTGGGAAATTAATGATACGGAATGACAAACAATTAAATAATTTTTTTATATTATTTTAAATATCACGATAACGGATTGTCATAACGTAAAATATTATTTGTCATTATTTTACATGACAAATTTTTCTAGCAAGAGCTTGCAAGTTATTTTTGCATTTATAGCTCCTATTGTACTCGTCACACCTGTACTAGTACATTTCATCACGTTCTTCAAGTTGATGTACAGAATCGGTGTGTTTTTGCAGATCTGACTCACGCTTGAAAACGAATGAATAATACAGACAATCGAATGGTGTCGTAATCTTGTTTATCTCGAATCCATGAACTAATTTAATGTGTGTATTCAGATTGGCTTTTTTCTTGCACGCGTATTTGTAATGATTATAGAAGAAACTTGGATTTTTTGTCATATTTATATTTCATATGACGGAATTTAAGCTTTGATTACATTTGTAAAGTTTGTTGCAATTTTGACAAGTGTATTCACACATGTCGTTTGATATAGATACGTCAGGTGTAATCCATAAGTAATGTCGAGATAAATTAATTGAAGACAAGTTGATTTTTTCTTACGACACGATACCTGAAAAAGTTAAGAAGAATTGTAGGAAATTTTTAGAACCGATAAGGTTAATTTGATCTTTACGCAAGATATGGAATTCGATCATTCATGAATGCGGAAGCATATTAAAAATGAATTCAAAATTACATTTTATTGAATGAAATTGTATTTTATTCAAGTGATATATACAATATTCGTCTGTTTTTATTACTATCACTTCAAAAAATCATATCACTGTATTTTTTTATAATTGATTTCTGTTAATTATTTATTAAATAATTGACGTTAATATAGAAAATTGATAAAAGATCAAACAACCACACTAGTAGAGTAGATGCGAAAGAGAGAGAGAGAGAGAGAGAGAGAGAGAGAGAGAGAGAGAGAGAGAGAGAGAGAGAGAGAGTGGAATTTCACTCAATTGTCACACATGAATTTCTCATGATAATGCAGACTTTCCTGAAACTTATACTTCTTTTTGCACTTGGTGCATTGATATTTGTTGTTCGTGCCTCTCTTATCACCAATCTGATGTTTACATCGTATGTGTACTTTCAAGTATCGAGGATTCAGCGCGCAATAGTCGCAGTACGCGCAAGAGTATTTTACCTGGTCTTTGCAACGAAGCTTGACGTGCTCTTGTAGGCCTTTTAGATACGCGTATCTCTTATCGCAATCGGGACACTTGAATATTCGTTTGGCTTTTTTACGAGCGTCTTCCGATGGATTGTCACCACAGTGACGTGACCTCATATGTTTGCTAAGATTTCCTTTGTGCTTCGTGGTGTAGCTGCAATGGTCGCAAAAAAAACGTGTCTTCTTGCTAGAACATTGATGTTCGATGTGCCGAGTGAGAAAATATTGCCTTTTATATGATTTGCTGCACTTTGGACACACGTATCTGGTTGCCTTTCTGGGATCTATTAAGGATTCCACTGAAACGACACGAAATGGCAGTGCAAGAGAATGTAGTGGTGCAGTGTACTCTCCTTCAGTTTTTATTCCTGGAAATGAAATACCAAACAAGTTAGAAGTAATCTTCGAGAACAGGTGAAATGATAGATATGGTGTTGTATTTCACACGTATTTTTGCAACGCAGTTGAAAATGAATTAAAGCGGTACTGTTATGAGAGTCAAGAGATAAAGTTAGTCGAGCGCTCTACAACTGTACTTCCACTTTTGTTACCCGTAACCTTGCTCGCTAGCGACAATAACACGAGATTATTAAATAAAAATCCAACCTAAAGTAATTGGGATTGGGACAAATAAATAACAACGCTCTGTAAGCGCTTTTAAACTTTATTTTTAAACTGCGATGTAATTTCTTCACATTTATTAATTTTCGAGTACACTGAGATAACAAGAAAGCGTGACTTTGAGCCACCCTTTTAAATAGAACTTGTACATTTTTTATTATTGAAATATCAAGGCACACCGACATTTAAATTTGAACTTGCCGATCGTTTCAATTTTCAGCAAACAACAGCAAAGCGCAAGAAGCATAAACATTCAAAGAGCAAGAACATTGAAGAGGAACTTTAGCGATCCCTAAAATTCCAACATTATTTTAATTATGATGCTTAACGGCGACATGTTTATGTAAATCTTCTTTGCGTTTGTACGAAATAGTACAAAGATTACACTGAAATCTGGGCTTGATACCACACTCGTGCCTCACGTGGCGCCTCAAGGTTTCCCTATGCATATATTTCCTACCGCAAGCGGCACAAACGTGAGCTTTTCGGCCCTTATCACAATCGTACTTGGTTTTACCCTCCTCGTTGGCTGTGTGCCAAGATTCCATGTGAATTACCATGCATACCTTTCGTTTGGTGGAAAATTGGCAAATGTCGCAAATCAAAGTTTTCTCTTTACCACACTCGTGGGTAAGATGACGAGTTAAATCTCTCTTGTACTTGTAGCTTCTTTTACATGCTGTGCATGCGTACTTGGTCGGATTGTTACACTCGTTACTGACGTGACGATCGAGACTTCCTTTGTACACGTAAGGCTTATTACAGGACGCGCAAACGTACTTATATTTATTGTTATTGGGACCACTGGTTGTAGGTTCGTGTCTGCTACCACGCAAATCAGATTTGCGGTTTGTTAGTGGTAGCAACTCCGAATAGCTTTTAACTCTGATTCCTAGAAAAACAAAGCGAACATATTAGTATAGCGCTCTAAAGATTTCTCAACGAAATAGACAGATTAAATGAAGGTGTAGTCCGTGAGTAAGTGTGTGAAGATGAGCCAGAATTGACTGCAGTAGCGGATGACTCTTATGCGTGCAATGGGCGTACGTGCAAGGAGTGAAGTGATTGTTCTGCTGAAAAATTTTATTGGAAAGTCTGATATGCACTTGAACACGTGAATAACAGAGATGAATTATAGTAGTAGAATGAATAAAGAAAAACGGACATATATAAGTTTTTTGATCCATCAAGGTGAAAAGAGCGATCAATGATATTAATTTCCTAGCGGATAATTCAAAATTGTGTTTATATTTTTTTAGTGTATTACAATTGTGTATGTAGATACATGTATGCAATGTGTGTAATTCTTCAATATACTCATCATTGGAAAAATTCTTTATTATTACAACATAATTTTCTTAAGATAAAACAAAATTATTTATTGAAAATTCTACATTCAAAATCAAAATCATATAATTATTTTAATAAACTCATCATTTATAAATTCCTTATAGATAGCGGTAAACTTTTTGTAATATCATTTTAATTTCTTCAGTTGTATTTTCTATAAAAAACATTATTAAGTCCATATATGATATTGCATTTAATGTACTCATACTTGTGCTTTTCGTTACTGCATCTGTGGCGGCTGTCAATGTGCATACGTGAGTTATTTTTCCATTTGATGATGTTAATACAATTATTAAAGTCAAAATTTGACTTTCTATTAAAATCGGAGCTAATATGTCGAAAAAGTGACTTTTTCCATATAAATTTTTTACTGCAGGTTTGGCAATGATTCACCTTTTCTGTTAGAACATTGCAATGAAATCTAGAACTGTTTTTACACATGTTGTGCTTAATATAATAAATCCACTCTCTCTGCCTTTTGTACAATTTACACTTGTCACATTTATAGACGGCTTCCTCGTATTCTTTCCCTATTTGTAGTAAGCTGCTTCTGCCATTGCGCACATGTGGCTCTTGAGAGACTAGGTTTGGAATAAATTTTTCCTCGATTTTCGTTTCTAGAACCAATATGAAATAGATTCGAAACTCGCAGTTGGAGGTACTCTAGACTACCACTGAGAATTCTCTTGCAGAAGAAAGTTGAATGATAAATTCAATGAGTGGGCGGGATAAGTATTATTTGATCTTATCATAGCGTCTTATTACACGAAATGTTTTATTGCATATCACTCGAATCTATCGTGGAATATAAGAAGATTAATCGAGCACACTGAATTGCTGTCTAGAAAAGTTGTTGATACAATGTATTTGAAATAAATTAAAATAATAAATGGTTGATACGTGCTATAGAAACATAACATGACTCATAAAGATTATTTGAATGAATATTAAAGAGTAAAAATATTGTGTATATCATTTGCTTTTCAAACAAATCGTTTAGAAGTCATTGACATGAACCAATGGTAAGTGAACATCGATGGTTCATCATCAAATTTTCATTTTTCTATCACGCGCGTTTGTATTTTTGAATTCTTATTCCTTTGTTCGAAAGATAAGTCATCTTGTTGATTTTGTTCTTAATTATCATATCGGTAAACTAAACTTATAATCGTTAATTTAAATTTCAAGGAAAATGTAAATTTCTACGAAACTCCTATATTGTTTTTGGTGATAAAACAAAAGGCTCAAATATGCTTTAGATTAATTTTCGCGAACAATTGTATAACTACAATTGGACAGATGTTTGAATTATAGTTATCCATATCTTAGACTCCCAATTTCACGATCTTGTTGATCATTACGGTCATAAAAGACGATTAGTGCTCTCTCAACTTGATAACGGTAAAGATGTTCACGAAGTTGCTTGTGTTTTGCTTTGCTATTGCAGTACTGAGTATCGCAACAGAAAGCTTGGCGGAGACCATTGAGATCGTTCAAATTGACCCTAAAGATTTCCATAAGAAACATCCAGATAAACAATGCCAAGAATACTCAAGGTTTTACAACGACTACTATAGCAAGTATTATAATACTTACTATTACAACTACTACAATCAGAGATGCAAGGAACCAACAATTCTTAATTTAAATGTGGACAATGTGAATGTTGAATGGGTTTGTACGAATCCTAAAACGAAAGACTCAGTGAGTTATTTTCAAATAAAATTAAACAAATTTTAATATTTTTTTATCAAACTTTGACAATTTTTGCATTCATTTAAATTTTTGCAAGAAAATGTTTCCATTTTTTGTTAACATAAAAAATTTATTTTATTGAAACGAATCGACTATATTACGATGAATTTATTTTATATTTCAGCTAATCATTGGATGTAAGAATACTCAATCAAATGGCCAGTATTACCCAACGCCTAACTTTCAGTCACATAATTCACCGGAACAGCAAAATCTTTCATCACAGAAGCAACCATCACAATCAAGTAATAATTATACATAGATATTTTGTCATTTTTATAATCGTTGCGTATAGCATATACTGAGTTTGAAAATTTATTTTCCTTATAGATCGACCTAATACCGGTGGCTCGGGTCTTATCGACATTAGAGTGGGAATTTCAGAATATAACATAAGCAAATCTCATTAGTCTCGTGTATGTTCAATCTACTGATAGACATACCATAAAAATTTCACTTGAAAAATAGTCTTGACGCCTTCATTTTTTCCAATCAAATTCAATTTACCTGATAGATGTTTTATATCAAACACCGATATTTTATGATACTTATTTGTAAATTATCAGTGAAACTACAGTTAATTCGATGGAATATACAAACTTTTAATAAAACAATCATCTCTTTTAATACTACTTTATTTTTTTAACTTAACATCATTTTATAAAGTGCAAAAGGGTAATGAAAGTGTAATCATTACGTATAGTTTAATACACATCACTTGATTACCTTGAAAAATGCTAGAAAAATGTTTTATTTCCTGAGTTTTTAAATATATATTTATTCTAACTAAGTATTATTTTGATTTTTTTGGTATTCATTCATGACTAATCACAATTCACAACATGAACACATCAATTATTGATTATGATATTAGATTTGGAAAAAGATATCTTAATTACTTATAATTATTTGGATCAGTTGAGTAAAATGTAGTGGTGGTACTAGAGCACGGGGAAAATTTTTTTATAGGAAAAGACTTTGTCTCTTCAGTATTGTTTATTTCGCAGTGTTTGTTCTTGAAATGGCGAACGAGATCTGGTTTCCGTTTGCATGAATAAGAGCAATGACTACAAAAGAAACTTGGTTTCTTGCCACAGTCGTATTTGCTGTGATGCCATAAACTGTGCTTTTTCGAATAGACTTTTCCGCACATAACGCACTTGAAAAGAGTTTGACTGGTGCTTTTTATTACATCGAGAGAAACTGCCTTAAAATGCATTACTGGTCGCTCTGGAGGAGTCATGGGTATCGCAAATTGGAACTCTTCTTCTTTTTTTACCCCTGTAATAATAACAAATAATATTAGAAATTGCGATTTCACGTAATTTTATATGTGAATTTTTGTGTGTGATTTGTAATGAGTTTGTGTTAGCAACGAATACTGTCCACGTTCAACTAGTGACATAGAACTGTTAGTGAAAATAAAGAAATTAAAAAAAATATTACGCATAAAAATAAATAAAATTATCCGATTGCCATTTGATATAAATTATTTACATATTGAAATATCATATTGTACATAATTCTTCCGAATTTTTTGCGACCGTTTAGATAAATTCAAGGTATTTTGAGATGGCTCCTTCGTATTTTCAAAATACTTTCTCTCATATTTTTGTTAATTAAATATGCACGGTCTTTATTTTCATAAAATTCTCTAGTACTTTGTTGATGGATGCTCTTCGTGGATTTTAACATTTGGGCCTGAAAACAAATTTTTAAAATGTTAGAGATAAGCAAACGATCCATTCCATCTAATTACTTCTGATAATTAAAATAATTTGGATGAAAAAATGCACATCCAGAAGGGATATCAAGTAATCTCTAAAGATGATACAATTAATTTGATAAAAAAGAGTTTATTTACTAAAAGAATTGATATGATAGAAAATAGACATATCAGTTTTGAGAAAGTCTCCGTTGCTTTAACGCTCTTCTAAAATGATGATTACTGCATTGGAAATGATGAATAGAATGAAGAGAAGAATACGTATTGTTAGAGGTAATTAGATACAAATTTTATCATAATAAATATGAGAGTTATACATTATTCAGATATTTGAATAAGTTACACATCTAACTTAAATGTTAGCATCACTAGTTGTAGGCTTGTTACACTTGAATCTTACATGGTGGTACAAACTGTCTCTGTGCTTATAAGTGTTTCCACATTTCACACATATATACATAGGTGCCGTGGGTCCATCAGCATCCGGATGACGAGTCCTTGTATGTTTATTCAAATCGCATTTGTGCTTAGTAACGTAGTTGCATTGAGAACAATGAAATTGCGGAAATTTGCCGCAATCGTATCTACGATGAGTTCGCAGGCTACTGGCGTGAGAATAGCTTCTATCGCAATTTTCACATTTAAAAATTCTTTTCACTTCCGGTGGAGGGTCATTAGCATTTTTAAGACTGTATTCTGTCAGATGTCGTGCTTTTACATGTCTCTCTATATGATATTTTGAGGTGCTAGCGTAACCGCACTGTTCGCACGAATATTTCAAATCCTTTTTGACTTTGCCAGGATTATCAAGGTCTGGCGGTGGCAAAAATACCGTGGTGAATATGAACTCATCTTGGCGTCGTTGTTGATCTGTAACAGAAGAAAATTTGACTTTTTTTTAAACTCTAATCTAAACTCTAATCTTAGTCGTTGTAGTTTTGAATGTAAGCAATGAATGTAAGCGAGCCTAATTTTATAAACTGTGGGACGCGGAAATTTTACTGAACAACGTTTATAAATATTCATGCGTTTTATAAATTCATGTAAATTTTTATAAACTTACAAGAGGAAATGCCTTTTTTGTAGGCTATAGTTAATACCAGTTAACCAGCAAATTATTGTTAAATAAATCAAAATGAAAAATAAAAATGATTTTTTAGTCTCGTTAGTTCAGATTAAGCGAAATACTCAAGTAATATTAACATTATTTTACCGAGATGAAACATTTTTGTCTAAACTTTATGGAACTCTAACATTTCGTTAGGATATGACGAATCAGACATTCATACAGTAATTACAGAAAGTATATAATATTTTATTTTCTGCAATATTGTTATTTATTTATACCATTTTACAGTAGTCAATAATATTTTTCTTATATTGATAACTAATGGTATCTGCTTTTTTCTTTATTTTTCCACAATTCAACTTAAAGTGCAGATAAGTTGACTGCATTTGCATCTTTATATTCTGAAAAATTAAAAATTACTTTTGGTTAAAATTGATTTCTTATTTTTTAATTGCAGTTATTAAATGAAATCGACAAAATTTTGTCAACTTTAATAATCAGTACAAAAATATTTCACATAAATTTTCATTATAAAAATTAATATTACTAGGTTTTTTAAATTAATTTTTTTAAATTAGTAGGAATAACGTAGTTTCGGTATTTAACTTTATTTTCGTCATATTATTAACGTTAAGATCAGCATTTATTTAAGGAATTAGCCATTTCTTCTACAAATTCATCCAAAACATTACTACATAAATTACTTTATACCATAATTTATTACAAAATATTTTACAAATATTAAAAAGAAGAAACAATTTTTTTTAAATTTTTATATTACACTTTAGTTGATACAAATGATGCGTTGATATATCATGTCTAAGCTAATCTAACATTTAGTATGGTAATCACAATTCTGGCAAAACATTTTTTTCTGACGCACTCGTATTTTTAATGTTGGCAAAGACGGTAGCGACTATGATATTTCTTGCTACGTGTGGTGCAGAAATTCTTTGTAGGATTCACCGCCAAAATCCCTTGTTAAATTTGAAATTAAATTGGCATTTACCAATTAGAAACTACGGCCTTCATATATTCGAAACCTGAAATTAAAACAGATAAATTAGATTCCAGTAAAAACTAATTATTATTTGCAGAATCAGCACAGGATTAGTAAGTCGAATTTAAGAAAATCTAGAAATATTCCATTATCATTTTATTGGTAATATTTGAAAAAATACATATTATGATATTAAATATTATATGTGTGATTAGCTGTATATTTGTATGAATTTTCTCACTTGGATGCGATTGGCATAAACAAAGAATGATATTTGAATTTGTCTATAAGTGCAGTATTCGTCAATTAACAATGCATCCGATAGCCCTTACACAATTTCTGCATACGATACTTTAGCACATCACTTCTCTTCGATCTGTAGCCACATAGAAGACAGACATACTTTGCCTCTTGTCTACATTCTTGATTTTCATGTCGTCGCAATGTTCTTTTAGATTTGTACGTCCGTCCGCAACGCTGACACTTGTAACCGTCATTGCTAAGGGTGTATAAGTCAGCAAATTCTGAAAAGAATAAATACAAAATTTCTTATTTTTTTGTTCGTCAAATAACTAAACTTACAAGGAAAGGAAAAGGTAATACAGTTAGGATACAAGATATGATCTTCAATTCTCTTTTTATCCAATGATCAAATATTAACAATTTTTATTTTTACTTATTTTTTGAGCTTTCACATTGTTTATTTTATTCTCTCTGAATAAATATCGACATAAATAAATAATAAGTTTTTTTATAACTGAATTGTACTCTTAAATAAAAAAAATTTGCGTCGAAATAAGAATCATTAAATGAATAAATATTACAGTATTGTCGTAATTAAACATATATATTATTTATTTTTAATAATACTATGTAAAACGATGGAGAGGATCGCTAAACCTCTCAGTTATTGCCAGTTTCGACAATAGTTCTAAAGAAATACTTACTTTAATAAAATTAAAAATTTAATAATCTTAATTTAACTAAAAAATATTGTGAACGAAAAATTTTGGCATTGTTCTCTATGGCATCCACGTTTATAGTTCGCCATTCTTACGTAAAAAAATCGAAATAATGAAATCTTATCCCTCAGCCAATCGTTCGTTGCTCTTCTTCTGAACACTACAATATCTCTCGACGTGCAGTCTCAAATGATCGCTACGTTTGCTTCGATGTCCACAGTAAGCACAAACGAAACCAGCCTCCTTGCCACACTCGTACTTCTGATGTCGCCAGAGGCTACTGTGAGCTTTGTAACCACGACCGCAACGGTCGCAAATATGTTTTTGGTGCTCATCTGCTGTTACTATTAATGGAGCTGATTGATATGGCTCGATTTTGAAAGCCGACGGCAAAGTGATTTGGTTGTATAAATCGGCGTAGAGGAGATCTGAAAATGAGAAAAAAGAGTAATAATCAGTGGCTTGGTTGTAACTTTACTGTTTTATTATTTTTTGTGACAAGAAGCGATATTTAATTAAGAATCAAACGTTTTTTCAGTAGAAAATAAGGATTAATAATATTTGAAGGGAGGGGTGCATCGTATTAATATGTAAACAGCCACATCGGTGATAAATAATAATTTATTAAAATTTTTAATAATAAATCAATACACACTTTTCCAAATAATACAAACTAAGTTTGAAGAAAAGCAAAATAAAAATATTTACATTTAAATACATATTCACACTCATCGAGAAGGTTTGAGTGGCACCCGATGTCGATTCTTCAGATGCACTTTTAAACAGTCTTGTCGTTTGGTCTTGTAGTCACACAATTTGCAAACAAATTTTGCCTCTTGGCCGCACTCGTATTTTTTGTGACGCCACAAACTTCGGTGAGACTTGTACGTTCGACTGCAATTGTCACATGTCAATCTATCTGTTTTTACGATGTGATTATCCAGTAATGTAGCTGTTTTCACATTAGTGTTGTCCAACAGTGAGAATGGGACCAAGAAATCGAATTCTGTAATCAAAAAATGATAAACTCGATGTTAGTTTTTAAGAAAATAATTTTACTAAAGGTTTATATTTTTTGTGAGTGTGTGTGTTTGTGATTGATGATATCGAGTTAGATTATTGTTGAACTGCAGTTAATGAAGAGGTAAAGTAATAAGCTGTCTTGACATATAAGTCGGATCATAATTCATTTATTCGCATAATTTATTTGGTAATATACAAAATTAAATCAGAATGAAATAATTCATCTAATAGAATCTATAAATTGTCATGGTGAATTTTACAATGATACCTTGTTTTCATCAAAATTTGTTGGTTTAATTCTGATCATCAGTTTCAATATAATCTGATACATCAACATTAATAACAGTGAAGTCAAAACAAGTTTGATTGCACGAACAAAATTGGACTAAATCAAATTCCTTTGATATCTATTGCGTTGTTTATCAATTTTTATGTTATGTCGTGCCATAACATGATAATTCATATGTTCCTTTCGTTTGGCGCGATAATTGCAGTGATCGCAGAAAAATCTCGCCACCTGGCCGCACTCGTACTTTTGGTGCCGCCACAAAATTGAATAAGAGCTGTATTGTTTGCCACACCGGTCGCAAGGCCATTTCGCTTTGATTATGCCTAGAGGATCTGTTTGTGGTTGAAATACAGGTGGAGATGATCTATAGTAATCGATGAATATAAATCCTGAAATCACATAAAAACAAAATTGTAAGCGGAATGTTAGAAATGTGTGTTTAATTGATGGGTGACGTATTGATTGTATAGTTGTAATGAAATGTAGGCCAGTGAGTTCGTGTCAATTACAATTAAATAATTTATTTGTCAAATTATTTACAAATAAATCTGTAGAAATACGTTTTAATACATTTTTTGCACAATACACTACCCTACAATCACATTTCTCTTCGTCATGTGCGTCTAAAAATTTATCAAATTAAACAATTCGCAAACATTATCTCAAACGTATGAATAATAATCGACGTTAACTTCAGTTTGACAGCTGCCGTCTGACTTTTTGGTATGCCGATTAATAATGTGAGATTTCAAGTTGTCACGACGTTTGGTACGATAGTTGCATTGATCGCAACTGAAACCAGCTTCCTTACCGCACTCGTACTTCTTGTGTCGCCATAAAGTACACTGTTGACTGTATGTTTTGCCACATCTCTCGCAAGAAATACGTTTTTTATTTCCTGATGTTGGTAATAACAGAGGGTCGATGCCTTCGAGTGGATCGCATTCTGAAAGCAGATAGAATAGATAAGTTAGTGTCGGATGAAATCATTTTATGAGAAAATAGCTTCCAGTGATTGTTCGTTTAACCGCACATGTGATTACGCATATTGCAATATAAACGATACAAAAACATGTTATTTAACGATCTTCAATTAATTTTCATTTGAACAACAATATGATCTCTTGAATATCATTATTCTCGGTGAGTCTTTTCATCCATGACAATGATTTCCATAGCTGAGACAAAATTTAATTACACAAACAAAATTCAATAAGATATAGTACTATAATCCACTTCTGAAACTAAATGAAAAGAGAAACAAAGCGAATGCAATTTTTTCAGCATAACGTTTTTATTCGATGGAAATGATTATAATACAATGATATTAAGCAGAACACAAAGTAATTTTTACACACGTTGAGTAATTTGAAGCTTGTGAATGCGATATTTGTAATATCTGATTTTTCTTTCAGTAATTTAAAATGAACGTTTTATGTACAATTATTTGTACAATGTTGCACGTGAAATTGCTCGTTAGCTTAATCACTTTCAAAATTTTAAGCGTGATACAAAAATCTTTGGAATATTTCAATGCATAACACACGCTTGAAAAGTAAGGAAACTTTCGGCACAAGAACATCCAATCCACTCAGTAAGAATATCTATTTACACGTTGAAATTTCACAGCACACCCGTCAATTCCTCCATCTCTTGATTCCACGACAATTCCTCGTGTGTTCGTTCAGGTGATCCTTCCTTTTAAATCTGTAGCTGCAAATTGGGCAGCTAAATTTCGGAGGTTTGCCACACTCATACTTGACATGTCGCATCAGTGTACCGTACCACTTGTATGACTTTCCGCACTGTTTACATTCGTTCTTTTCGTCAGCGGCACTGGCTATTTCCTCTCGTGTACGTCTTGTACGTATCGTCGTCATGTCTGGCAAGTAGATTTTTTCAAAAGGATGTGGCAGCATATCCGGATAGTAGTAGGCTAAAGTGAAAAACAAAAAAAACGAAAAGTCGTTAATAAGACGAATGTCGTATTAGTACAAATAAAAAACTTGGTCAATGAAATCGATCTAATTGGTGAGTCATGCATCGAAGGAGTGGAGATGTTAAATTGAGGAGCATATTTATAATTTTAGTGATTAACGATAAGCGCAAAGTTTTTGGAAACGGCAATGAAGTCGTACACAGTGTCTCGCAATTCACCTTTAAATTATCTTGATTCGCCGTTTGCAAGACTTCTTCATGTGTTTCTGCGCAATATGAGCGATCATGTGAGCTCTGTAAGTAGCTTTGTGAGCACAGTAATCACAGCTAAAACGTTTCGGTTGTCCGCATTCGTACCTCATATGACGTGTCAGCGAGCAGTGATTTTTGTATTTTTTTCCGCATTTTTTACAGACATTTTCCAGTTCTAAGTCGTTGAATGGTTCTGAGATCTCTGTATTTGTTAACCATTCCTGACGAAGACTCTGCAATTGTACACTGGGAAATTTAAGTGACTCGGATGAGACTAATTTGATGTCGACTACATCTGAAAGAATAAAGAAAACAATCGAATGTTCAATTAGCGAAGCGTAAAATGCATGGCTAGGGAAAAGTTGAGAATACTGAAGGAGGTATTTTCATGCTAAATATACGTTTTAATGCGACTAAAATTTTAGTTGGACACATACTATAAATTAATTTTGTGGCTGGAACTTATGGTTTCTGTTTTATTATTCAAAATGTATTATGACAAATTATTTATGGTAACAAAGACTAATCATTTTAATACAATCAACGCCAACTTGAAGAACATTAAAAACCTAAGTATTCAGGAGGCTCCCTCACAAATGCACAAATATTTTTTGTAATTCTCTCTATTAGGATTCACATACAAATTAGCTACGACATACAAGAAAATTATACAATAACTGTAAATAAAACTTATTCTAAGATTAATAATGTACAGGTCAGTATCTAACATTTGTATACAATTATAAAATTCTATCGTGGAAAAAAAGAACAATTTTGTTAATAAATCATTTAAGTTTGTAGGAACATTGGCAGCAGATCTTGGCAGTGTGTTGACTACACATAGGTTTGAAGCACGAAAGGCACATGTATTGCGTTTTTCTATCCGCAGTGTAAGGGCAAATTGAACAGCGTTTACGTTTCCCCATTTTGTTGTCGCCAAAAAACAGCAACGGATCTTTTGGCGGGTCGGCTATTATGTGGTAGTCATGGAAGTCATTGTAATCTGAAAAGATGTGAAATTTTATGTTACTTGTTACAAAGATATATTATTAAAAATTTATAAAAAGGTAATGATGAAAAAACTCAATGAAGTGATGAAGAAATATTTTACAAAATTGAATGAAGGATTGAACAAGAAAGGTTTGTTTGGAATGTTATTTTTTATTTTTTATTTACAGATCTAAATCTTATAATACAACTGCTCGTAAATTACGCTAAATGTATAAGTCTTCACGGCAGTTACGTCAATCGAAGAAATAAATAGAAATAAAAAATGCTTTAAAAAATCAAAATGTGTAATAATCTATAGCAGTCTTCATTCGATTTACAGCATGAAAAAATTTACTTTTTGATCCTTATGACACCTAATGATATGATTTTTCATGTCACTCTTGTGCTTGCTACGTTGCGGACAATAAACGCAATGAAATTTAGGTGCAACGCCACACTCGAACTTGACATGACGCTTCAGATGATGCAAGTGCCTGTACGATTTACCACATTGCTCGCATACGTTGTACACACCTGGGGTGTTGTACTTTTTTCCCGTTACAGGTGTTGTTGGCGAGATGTAGTAGGCAGGATTGTATTGTGGTAGATAGTAATCTGAAATTGAAAATTATATGTATCAGCATACATGAATATTAATTGCGAGATTGATAAAATGAAGAAAAAAACAATATCGTGTGATTCATTATTGTTTTAGAAACAAAGTGGACAACCATAGTATGTAGAAAAAAAAAATTATTCTCTTTATTATTAAAAAAAATAACTACTAAAAATATATAATTTAATGAGAAAAAATCGTTTGGATAGGAGGAATCAATGGATTAAAGTAATCAATAATAACTTTATACTTTGCATCTAAAATTTACATTTTATTATTTTATTTTATATGGCACATAGTGTTTACATTAGAAGAATAAGAAAAATATTGTTTTATTAGAGAATATCATTGAAAGCATTCATCTATAAGATCATATGAACATGAAATATACAATATTATTTTATATAATTCATAATATCTCTATTTTGGTATAAAGAAATACAGCATTATATTTTCTTTCAGAAAGCATTATTGCAATCAATGATAAACTAAGTCAGATAATATTTAGTTTGCAATCCTTTGTGCAGCTTCTTTATATGTCCCATAATGTTGTGCTTGTGTCGACATCGTCGAGGACAATAACCACAAAGAAATCTTGGTGGGATACCGCATTCATATTGTAAATGACGAGATAAATGGTCCGAACGTAAGTATGATTTATTGCATTTTGAGCAAACATGATCTCGTTGAGGACCGACTTTCAACGTTAATATCTCGTAGTTTATCGGTTGGAAGCTAAGTGGATCTTGAAGTTCATCAGGAAGTAATAAATAATCTGTAAAATGAATAATAAATTTGTTAGTTTGATTTTTAATTAAAATGGACACACACATGGAAAAGCATATATATAAAAGATATTAGTATATAACAAAAATAGAATATGGTTCGAAAGGATGAGCAACGAGTACTTTTATTTGACATATAAATATTAATTTTTTAAATCTTCTCACTTCCTGTTGGTTTCGGCTTTCAGATCAAGGTTTTTGGAGAATCCAGACAGAAAGACTAAAAAATGTTTGATATTTTAAATAAAAATGTATACATTTTTATTATTTCAAACATAAAAATTTAGATTGTAACCGTGGAATTATGTAATGTCAGTGTAGTCTAGACATACGTATTATCTAAAATAGGTATTATCATTTGAAGCTCATTTGAACGCACAGCCTATGTAATGAAAAATAACCAAAAATGAACTAATTTTCAAAGGCAATGATAAAATTAACTTATTGATCTTCGTCACTTAATAAAGACCGCTTAAAATTTCATTTTTGGTCATTCTGTGGAGTGATAATCGGTCACCAAGATCGACGTAACCAATTTTTTTATTAGAGTGTTTACTCCTTACTTGACCGTAAACGTCAACCGTTCTCTTGGTAATTTTATAGTAAGAACACCTGAAGCTTGGTTTTTAGAAACCGAGATTCGGGTGTACGTGAACAGCCTGTAAAAAAATAGGAAATCAACCAAGTTGGTTAAAATATGCATAAACTATCTTACATTTTATTCACTATTTATAATACTTTACAATATTTTAAATAGATAGTTACAATACTTTCGTACATAAATTACTACTTAAGAATATGTAAAAAAAATAGAAAATATAATGGTAAACTAAACTTTATAAATGAAATCATTAAAACTGAAAATCTAACAAACATTGTAATGTAAAAATGTAATATGAAAGGTTAATTCTAACTCATTTTAATAATATGTTAAATATTAAGTTACTTTCATTGTATTACTAATCGTGGCGATATCCACAAAGTAGACAGATTCGCCAGGGTGATATTCCCTGACGTGTCTATAAGTATGAGAAGTCTTCTTACTACGAAAGTCGCAATATGGACACTTGAATCTTGGTTGTTGGCAGCATTCATATCTGAGATGTCGCGTCAGACATCCTTTACGAGTGAAGGCTGCAGGACACTGATGACATTGATAGGCTTTGTTATCTTGTGATCTTCGTTTCTGTTTATTTTCGTATAGTAGCATCTCTTCCGTCACGTCCACGTAGTAGAAATCTGATTGTTCTGAAACAGGATCATTTCGAAAATCTGTTAATAAGGATTGATTAACGCTAATTTTGAAGAATTTAATTTACAGTTGATCTACAATGTTAGTTTGACTAGATTTGCAATTTATCTACTGGTCCACTTACCCTAAATTTTGAATTAACTAAGTGTGCGGTGATTAAAAATTAAAAATTATTATTTATAGTATCAATTAATTTATTTACATTTCAACATAGATTTATTATAGAAAGAAAAGTTTATTAATTCGGAAAAATTACAAATGTTGATGCAATCCTTTCTCCTAAGAGAATTTGCTTTTACAATTTTGGTATTAATATGATCCATCGAGGTTTGCATCATTTGAAGTTCTTACTTACTTCCTTTGTAGAGATTGATTATTGAGTCCTCCATCTCCATTTAATAGAAGTACTCTGAAAATATAAGAAATATGGGTAATAAACTGATCAAGTTAACAAATAAAATGCATAAGAAAAATGTTGTAAGGTAACAATAAATTATTCAAGTAGTTCAAGTAAAATCAATTTATTAAACGCATTTCAAATTTTGAATCATATTTTTATTATTCTATAATAAAAAATATCAGTTTAAGATAACACCGGTATTTAAAAAAAGTTAATATTTTTCAGTTACTAGTTATATACGAACATAAGAAGTTTTTTTTATTTTAAAATAAAATAAATAAAAAAATATAGAATACAAAAAAAAGTTATTCTGAACTTATTTAGGCATAAGACTTGATTCTTTTATTCATAGTTACAACATTTTTGAATAAATTTCTGCCCGTATTAGGATCTGAGACTACGCAATAAACTTTTTTTCCTTGATGTCTATTTCTGACATGCTTGATAACATCATTGCGCCACTTAGATTTGTACAGACAATAAGGACAGTTATATTTAGGTTCTTGATTGCATTCGTCAAGTAAATGTTTTTTGAGAGAAGAAGCAGTAGAGAATCCACTGGGGCAAAATGAACATGGGAATTTCTTGGTATACTTGATGCGACGTCGCTTTTCCGCTAAAGTTCGTTTCATCTTTTCTGAGCGTGACAAACATTCCTGATCAAGAAAAGACATATCCGAGGTAGGATATTTCATAAGATCATCATCTGCAAATTCATGCTTGATGTCAATGGTTTCAACGTCTATTGTCTCAACGTCCACGAAATCTGAAAAATAATATGATTAGTAAATATCATGAAATTTGTAAACTATCGCAGAAAAGTAAAGGCGCATTCCAGTTAGAACATTAGACTATCACAGTTTAAAAACCCAACTTAATTTGTACTTAGATACTTTGGAATAGGAAAAGAAACAAGTAAGTTATGAAAAAAATCAGTTTTATTATTCACAATTTATACATCAACTTAAATGTATAAAATCTAATCCGCCGTAATAATATTTAAGAAAAAAAAATACGATTGAACGTTGACTGACGACTTTCATCTCATTCATTACAATTTAAGATGTAACAATTAAATGTTTTTTCTAATCAATAGTACCTCGTCTGCCAGCCATACAAGTCTCAGCAGCGAGTACATCCACGCAATAAACCTTTTGTCCTTCGTGCTTATTTCTAACGTGATTATAAATACTCGAGGTCCATTTTGTACGATAAGGACAGTATGGACACTTGAATCTTGGCTCTTGACCACATTCGTACCGTAAATGTCTTGTTAACGAACTTTTTTCTGAAAAACCTGTAGGACAATTTGGACATGGAAAATTCTTCTCTTTTGTAGTGTTGATGACGCGCGGATGGTATTCAACCTGCTGGACATTTAGTGGTATTTTGGACAGCGATTTCAGCCAATCTGAAAACAGAAATATAGTCAAATTAGTTAAAGGTCAATGTAGCTACAAAGGAAATTTTTTTTATGCGATTTTGGAGAGGAAAAGGTCGAGTTCTAAGAGTAGTTGTCTTGTGTCGTATTACTTCTCAATCAATTTATATAAATAGGAGATGTAGAGTACAGAATTAAAATAATATCTTGTTAACTGCATCCTTTATTCACTTTTAATTCAATCAATATGAACTGTTTGTTTTCAATTAGGGAAATTGAAAACGAGTAAGGCACTAAAATAACTAAATACTATCTCAAATAATATCATGTTCTAATATAAAACATAACACTCAGTTGTCGATTATTCTTTCTTTTTTGGAACAATTCTTATTTGTTCTGGATCAAGTTATCTGGCCTCGTCAAGATCAAAAACATCAGATTAATATTGGTACTTCTGTCATAGTGTGTTGCTTCATATCCAAGTGGTGAAGCGTGAGTTGTTGTGTTTTTGGTCATTTTTACACTTTTGACACCAACAAATGTTAAGGGTGAGGATGATAGAATGATTAATAGATACATATATTTTATTATTTTTTTATAGTTTTTGAATAATAAAAATAACGAAATTCTCCGGTAATCGTGGAATTAATGGTAATTTACATTCTACAATAAAAATATGCGTGACAGACAAAATCTTTTTTACAGTTGTTATTCAAATAGAAAATATAATTTATTTATAGTACAATAGCTTCATCGAAAATAGTAAATAACAAATATATTTATAAAATTACATATCACAAGTTTGTTAACACCTGAAAAAATCACAATTGCAAGTAAAATTTCTCTTCATTCAACCTATTTTCTTAACTGATGTCAACATTATTGATTGGTCAATGTAGCTACAAAGGAAATTTTTTTTATGCGATTTTGGAGAGGAAAAGGTCGAGTTCTAAGAGTAGTTGTCTTGTGTCGTATTACTTCTCAATCAATTTATATAAATAGGAGATGTAGAGATACATATAAAGATATCTTAACAAGACATTGGTAAGATATTGGTAAGATGTTTTCTTTTGCAATGAGTTCTAACATTTGGTATATGCTTTGTGTAGTAATGGCAGTAAGGACACTGAAATCTTAGAACGATACCGCATTGTTATTTGAGTTGATTATGTATTGGTGTTGAGATTGGTATTGTGATTGCGAGGTGTTGATTATTCTTACGCATAAAAGGTGTATTGCACCGTAGACATAGAAATCTTTTGCTGAACTGAAACAGAGATAAAGTAAGTTATTTATTATTTTTATCTCGAGCTGAGTTCAATGGAACTCAGTCGCTGACTCACGTCACGAATAATTTTTATTTACAAAACAAAAGCGGTTTGGAAAAAATATGATTTTATTTACACCCTATATATGATCGCGATTGATTTGGATTTGACAAATGAAGTACTGTAGATTCGTGAATAACTAAAGTAAATGGCTAATCTAATTTCAAAATAAAATCTGAACACTTATATACTCATTGAGTATCTTATCGATCACGTGTAAATGGGAAGAATCGATAGAAATGTGACTATATTATTATAAAAATTATTCTTCTTTATTAATCTTGCTTATCTACATACTTTGTTTCTGCGTATCACAATGATATCTTATCAGCGATTTAAGTAAATCAAATAAGTTTCTAAGTACATTAGCAATATTTTCAATAATTTATCTCACTCCTTATTACATAAAATATAACTAAAAAATAAATAAAACAGGTTCATGTTTTGAAACTTGAACAACACTATAAAATTATTTAAATAAAAACTTTTTTCAGCAAGGTTGCGTATCACGACTAATCAAATAGTTGATAATTCAATAAAGTCAATGTTTTGAATAAAAAAAATCATTTCAAAGTAATGGGTCGAAATAATCCTGAGAATGCGGCAAATGCGTCCTTTCGTGATCACGAAGATGATGTCGATGTTTGAAGCGCTTATCACATTGGGGACATTGATAACGTGGTCCAACGCCGCATTCAAGTCTCAAATGTCTCAACAAGTTGCATCTATGTGTATACCTGCGTCCACATTTTTCACAGATGTGTGGGTGAGATTCGCCGAATGTATCTGAAACATGGATAAGATATTCGCTTGGGTGCATGTAGTATGTTGAAAAAAATGTTGATGAATTAAATTTTTTTAATTAAAGATAAGTGATATTGATAATTATTTTGAATGATTGAAAATAACATTGAAAATATTGAAAAATCAAGTATTCAACATTTTTCCATCAGCAATAATTTTGAACGTGGTTTTAATTGAAATTTTAAATATGTTCAGTCTTAATTGTGTTGGAAAAATTATGAAAATATGTTTTTGTTATTATTATAATAGATTTATTTAATTAAATGAAATAACAACCAATATAAAGCAAAACAAACAACATTAACTTCACAAGAGTTTCTAGAAAGATATGTCGATTTGAGTTTGAGTAATCAAACATCTAATAGATCATAAGTAGCGAGTAGAAGAAATGTAATAAAATAGATATTTCGAGTAGTATTAACTCATTTATTAGAACAACTTATACAAGATAACGTAAACAATAAATGGATTGTATTTTAATGATAACAAATTAAGGAACATTTTTATTTATTAAATTTTTTATTGAACCTGAGCTTCTAACAATAGGAAATCTTTTTAAAATACATATATATCTATGCTTAGCATATGGCAGTTTATAGTTTATATTATTCTGCTAATTTGATTTTGTCGTTTTATAAAGATAGATTATAAAAATATTCTCTCAAAATTTATATAGCTTATTTTTTGTTCTTACAGCTTTAGTAGTTGGTTCTTAACAATGATAATAGTGATAAATATTTTCAAATGTTTAAAAAGCCTTTTAAAAGATTGAGGATAGTAATTGCTGTGGATATTTCATGACTTAGAGTAATTTACAAATGAATAATATGACAAAAATAGACAAGGATAATGGAATTGCAGTTACCGAACAAATTTTTATTTCATTGTATTATCTGCTATCCAATGCTTATAAGTGTAACATTGAAAATTTTCAAATTCTAATGCAAAACAAACCAAAAGCTCATCAAAAATATCTCTAAGGTATCAGGCAATGATTCCTAAGTAACATATAATTCTTGTATTTCTTTTAAACATATAACTGAAAATTTACCAGAAAATTTGTAGTCATCTCTCAAGACTTTTGATGAGTTCTCATATGCAGCATAAGGTTTATGCTTGTGCTTGGATCTCTTATGGCAAATAGGACACTCGAACTGCGGTTCAACGCCGCACTCGAATTTAATATGACGATTGAGTGAATGAGATCGACTATACGCATTACCACATCGTGGGCAACTATAACTCGGGGATTCCCCGCCGGTATTGCGCGCAACACTACCACGTGGTCGCGATTCATCCACCTCCACCTGTTGCTCTGACTCTTCCAACATCTCTCGCTCAAGTAGGCGCAAGTAGAGTGTTTGGTACTGGTAGTAACGTTCGATCACTGACGGCGAGTTGTCTGTGGCATCTATAAAGAAAAAAAACAAGAAATATTTCCTAGTTCCGTACTAAAATTTCGGCCTCGGTTGGGTT